TTCTAGGAGTGCTCAGGTTTACATCAGCTAAGTAAAATAAGAGTGTGTAAGGATGAAAAAAAGGCGTACTATAATCACCCGAAAATGTGAACGTAGTCTTCCAACAGACTGTAAAACCATTAATCTAACCAGAAGACTTTGAAACCTTCAAATTTATACTTCAGAAATACAGACTAAAGCAGAATTTTAAGAACATTTCGATCAGAATTATATTGCATTACATTTTTAAAAGTCAGCTGATATAATATAAACACGATAAATATTTCATTACGCTAAGCAATCAGTAACATAAGCAAAATGTGAAGCAATAAAACGTGACACGCTTGTAAACAAAATCTACAACACGTTGTTGAAAACAGAAACATGCCATAGAGTCAAATCAATTAGAATTCAACTTCAAAAACAATCTGTCAAATTTACAACTGCATAGATGACACAATAATGATTGTGGTACGCTTATTTTATCAGAAAAGACAACCCAATGACGTCAACTAGAAAGAGTAAAATGGTAAAACAAAAATAACCCTTTGGTTACCAAAGAAATGTGATATACATTTAGGGAGAGAGGTTAGCCAACCAAGATGAGTGTTTAGCTGACTAGGTATCATCCACAAGAAACCGAACGTAACACAGCTTGGCCAGATTAGCAAAACAGTGGAGGTCAGTATCCAATGTCAAGGCATGATGACAGGTGTAAACTGTACCGCTAGATTACCCACTACATTTAACAGACTCCCGATGATGTGTATATATTCCGTGATTTGAAAAAGAGCAAGGACCGCTCGACGGTAAAGGAACTGAACAAGTTTCTACATTTGTCCGTCAAGGTTACTGAAGCAAATGCGAAGACTTCCTTCTGGAAAAGCCGTCTGGGCGAATATCCGAAAGCATTCTGGAAAAATCTGAGACGAAACCATATATCTCCCAATTCACGCACGCTTAAAAGATACATCCAGAATCACATTGATGCCGTCCGATCCAGATTAGCTGAACTGAAACAAAACGTCTCAATGAGCTCCCACGTTCTCTACGATTTGACTGTTGATGAACGTGCGTCATTCGAACACTACGCCGATATAGTTTCAGAGAAGAGAAGGGAAAATATCATCATGAAACTTAACCAAAGCCTAAAATCAGTCACCAAGGAAACAGCTTTCGTGTCTTGTCCCGAGAAATATGTATTCAATTCTTCTGATGTCTCACTTTTCCCGATTCAAATGCAACTCTTTTCGCTCGGATCAAAATTTTGTGATGCATCATCAAAAGTAAACGAATTGAACACCAAAGCACAATTCGAGAATTTGATTAGTCAGACGAATGATCTGGTCCCAATCTCATATGATAGTGCAGAACATTCAAATCAACTGTTTTGAATTGCTGCCTTGACTACATCAACAAAAAACCTAGACTTCGTAATATGCTCTCAAAAGAACATCAAAATCAACTCAAAGAATTGAAATCAAATGAAAACCTGATAATAACTCGACCAGACAAATTGTTCTGCTCAACAAGTCAGACTATGTGAAGAAACTCTCGTTAATTCTATCTGATGACAACAAATTTCAAAAACAAACAATCCAAAAAGATCCAACTGAACATATGGAGCTCCAGCTAACCAACTTATTGAAAAAATGAAAGATGAATCGATTATTAATACAGAACTATATGAACAACTTCGCCCATCTGGTTCTACATCACCACGAATGCATGGACTATCCAAAGTGCACAAAAAAGGACGTCCCACTCCGCCCAATATTAGATATGATAGATTCGCATACAAAATACTGGGTAAGCTTTGAAATATTGAAGAAGACTTGCCGCTCAGGTGGATGTCCTTGATGTGATTGTGTTTCTTTTGTGAAGGACGGTTCAATTGGAGGAATAAGCAGTCACAATGAAGGTAATCAACAGAATAAACAAATATTTCATCCATGGTGAATTCCCAAAGCTCATTCCACACACTGGAGGTACCACTGAAGATGTCTTGCAGAAGAAGAGTCAAAGTTTCGCAATTAAACCATCCATCCAGCTCAGAGAAGACACAAAGAGACAGGCTTTAACACGTGTTTACTCAATATCGTAAAGGCCAGTGGCAGCTAGGTATAATGAAGTGCTACCAATTAAAAACACTTACGAAACTGCACCGTTTTGATGTAGTTGTGTTCTCTAAGCTGGATGGTTTATTTGTGAAGCTTTCATTGCCCTACTAGGCAACATCTTCAGCGCATACTTCAGTTCGAAGTGGACTTTTAGAATCCTCCACGAGTTTATTAGTCATCTCTCCTGGAGGGTGATCTTGAACGTGATTGGTTGTCTTTATGTTTTCACACCTTCCAGGCTACTTGTATTGGTACTCACTGACTTGAAGTTTGACCCTTCGTGAGTGAGATTTCCTTCTCATAGATTGGTGAATTTTGTCAATGTCGATGTGTCTATTGTTTGGCGATTCACTGGAATACCAGGCTTCTAAAAATTCCCTAGTATCCTTGGTGTTTCCTCTGCCTCATATTTGAAGGCCAGTTGTCCAAGTCGAATTGATGTCCGTGGTTGTCTGTCTGCAGCGATATGAAGGAATGGATGTCAAGACGAAGAGGAGAGGTGTCCACTTTGGCCAGTGCAGTGTTTTTCGCAGTCGTCGCAACTTATTTTCTTTCACTGTTGAGTCTTTTAGTTGACATAGAGAGCTGAGTGAAGTGATTTTGTTGGTTTGTGTGCGACATCAATTCCTAAAGGTTTGAAGAGTCTTGAAGTGTATTCTGAGAAGTCTTTTATATGTAGTAAGACGATTTCCTTTGTGTTTCCCTTGGAGGCCTTTAATCTGGTTGGTTGGCTTGGGGGTAGATACCTTTTGTGTACTATTTGTACCTCAGTTACACTGAGCAGTTTGAACAAAATACATCGAAGAATTTAAGAAATAAAGTTTTTCGCGACCTCTAATCCTTCATGATATACATCACACGCACTTTGTCACCTTGACTGGTCGACTGGGTTTCAACACAAAAACTTTACACAGAAGTGCGCCAGTTCGGCTTATCTCACTCCATGTAACACACAAAGAAAGAGAAGGAAGAGATTGAAAAGAACTATAATAGGCAGAAATGGACGGGAGGAAGAATACTAATAGGAGGTTTTGATGGATCTAGGGGATTATAAACAGTGAATACATCTGCGCCACATTCATTGACAACGATTTTCAGCCATCTCACTAATAGTCTCCAGCCATTGGTACTTAGAATCTCGAGGTACCTAACTAGGCAGTTTACACCTTTCCATGTAGCTGGCTCAAACTAACAGTCAGTTAAAGATATCATCGATTGATTCCAGATTTGCATTCAACTACCCCTGTCTTATTCTTTTCCAACCTAACCCTATGTTAGGTAATATTGCTCATCGAGGAAGGCGATGACTTGGAATGCGTAACACATCTCTTAGCCTTCTCAATCGTTGTAGCTGTACTCTACCCCTAACCTCAATACTGCTCATCATACCGTACCATTTAACACAGGAGAGAGAAAGGCAAACATTTATGGTCAAACACAGCTAACCTTCTCATTATATCTTCTACTATCGACGGCCAGGTATCACTTTACTCTAAAACCAATTCACCTGACAAATCTAATACCATTGTAACGAGAGAAGATAAGAGAATTGGGAACGGACTATATTTATTAAGGCAAAACACATCGTATTTATACATTTTCAGCAACATTAACAGTTGGTTAGGTCAGCGGACAATGATTTTTTCTGATTGGTCCAAGGTTAAACAAGTTGTCCAATCAGGTTATCGAATGGTCTCTCCATGATCATTCATGGCGAATTTAAATAAGTTCATTTTATACTAAAACCTGAGCTGAAGATATTGTCTAGAAGGATGACGAAAGCTTCTTAATTAAATCAACCAGCTCAGAAAACACAACTGGCTCACTGTCTTCAACGCAGAACTTTGCATTCATGCGCAACAGTTACAGTTGTCACACACCGTGTAGCACACAAAGCAAGAGAAGAGAGTAAAGAGAGATAATAAACACAACTGTTACGGAAAAAGAAGAGTAATATAGGAGAACAGTAGATTTTTATTGGATATTATAAATCACAAAGAGTGAATGCATTTGAGATAGCCATTGATAAAGACTTTGAGCCATATCACCAATTGTCTCCAGCCACTGCCATTGGCTTTTCCCATCCCGAGGACCCCAACCAGTCAGGAAGTCTATGCCTCCCTACGTGGTTTAAACTAACTGTTGTGGATTTCATTGACTGGTGCCATGTTTTGGGTTTGACCGCTCTTTTCCAGCCTGACCCTATGTCAGCTAACATTGACCGTCGAGGAAGGCGATCGATGGCTAGGGATGCATGCATAACACTTGTCCTAAACATCTCAATCGATGTAGCTTCACAGTCTCGTCGATTGATTTCCCCTACTTACCTAACACTCGACCGATGCCTAACCTCACTATTGCTTACCTTGTTACACCACTTAACACAGGAGATGGAACGCAGACACCTATGATCAAAGACAGCTAGTCTTTTCATGTCTCTCACTCTCAATAGCCATGCCTTACAGCCGTAAACGAGGACGGAGCGGATTTCTGAGCAGTACACCTGCCCTTTGGTCGATAGCCAACCGGATATTAAGTCTACTAAGCCAGAGATGGCGTGAACTGGCATATGCGAAACTAGCCCTCTGTATCCGTGCTGAGAGTTCGCCAGTGATCAACCCGTTGGGGCTGATTCAATTCCCCAAATAAGTGAAGTGGTCAACAAGCTCCACCTACCACTTCACCCCCTATCTCTACGCTAGGAGTCAATGTAGCATCATCTTACATTTGACAGCAGGAGCGAATCGCATGCCAAACACAACTAATTCAATATCATCCCACCTGAGCTACAAATCTTCTCCATTATTTCAGGTTATCTCATGACCACTTCCTATCAGTCTGCACCGCTACACCATAAGCTACTCTCTCTCTCAAAAAACAAAAAAAAAATAACTATAAAAATAAGGTAAATAATATTATTTATCAAAAATTTTCATATTATAAAAAAACAACAACAGAGGAAGCTGAATGCAGCAGTCAATCAATAATCACAATGACGCATTATTATTAGCACTGGTTAATATATATGACATAAAACAGGTTACTACTATGAGGTGAAAGATACCGGACCGGGGAGAAAAAGGCAGGATCAAGTTAGATCATCATCATCATCAGTATGACATGGATCAAAGAAGAGAAGTTGTTGAAAGTCACAAGAGGTTAGCCAAAAAAAACATTTCCCCCACTGATTAAACAAGACAATAAAAAAGTATGGGCGAGTGGTGTAGGTGGGAGGAAGGGTGGGTAGGTGGCGCGAGAATTGAAATCAAATGCAAATCATACATATTTTGAGTATAAAATAATCTCAAGACATGTGTTTAAGAAGTAAGCAGCCAGGAGTAACAGATAAAATGGAGTATTGCATACAATCGGACCGAAAAAAGAGGCCTGATAAGTAATAACTGAACAAAATCATTGATTCACACAGATAAATTAAAACAAATTAAAAAGAAAGAGAAGAAACTAATCAAAAACTCTACGAAATCAGTAAAACAAAAAGTAAATGAATAGTGAAATTATTAAATAGTAAATTATTTGAATAACAAGAATGAAATCAACCAGTCAATCTGATGTGTGTAATAAATAATATGTGAATGTGTCTCTATTCATCATTGATACCACATTTCAAATTTAGCGGGATAGCTCGATCCATTTGTTTTGGTTTGGGTAGATTTAATTCATTCATAATTTTAACAAATTCTTGCTTGGATTTTGTAAGTCTAAAAATCACAAGTAAAAGGAATGTACATACGCGCGCGCGCATATATATAAATATATATATATATATAGAAAAACGAGACTGACTAATATTCAGATTATGGGGTATTTTGTAGGGACTTGGATTAATTTTTTTTTCTTTTAATGTGAAGAACCAACATCACAGTTGGAGAGAATCATTGATTGATGATAGAGCTGATAAAGTTAGGATTCACTAGGTCATTGAATTTTGATCAACGAGCTTGGGGCCTCATTAACTGAAGGCCCTGGGTTCGATCTCTGAGATTACACTAATCCAGCAGCTGGCAGGAGAAGTTCCACCATACCTGAAGCTATTTATTACATGACGTGAAATATACTTTTTATCCAATTAATCACAAAGGATTTCACTTAACACTATAGTGTTTTTTAATCCCAAAGCAAACCGGGTAGTGTAATGCAATAACAGTTAGCTTAGGAAAAAATCCAACTGATAACACCTTGCTTCGATCCAGAAACCCTGTTACTTGCACAAACTATGAGACAATTTTGTGTGGCGCATCTCTTTGTGCCTATAATGTACCAAGCTTGCGCTTTAATAATCATAAATGATTTTAAAAAGCATTGCCTAAATCTTTTTCGAGCATATACAATGATTATAATCGTTACTCTAGATAGAGGACGAATTTAATTCTACAAGAGATTCAAATCACTTCTTGAAATTATATTGAATTTCTCATTGACCAGCGTCTTTATTGAACCGAAATACAACGATCTGTGTCAAAATATACTTCAAGAGGCGGTTATTGTGGCTCAGTAAGGCCTAGTGGATAACGCTTTGGTATTTAAAACGAATGATATAATGGATTCGGGTTTCAATGGGAACACTATTGTTCACTGAGGTTTGGAGGTGCACTCAGTTGAAGAGTCCCAGCAGAAGGACGAAACCAAGATGGATTGGATATGTACTGAGGAAACATACCTTGAAGTGACATCACACGTCATGTCAACGAGTAGAGGGTGTCATGGAGAAGATTAATGTGCGAAGGAGGATGAAAATGAAAACCTGTGGGCAGTCATTGTGTCAGGCGAAAGTGATGGAAGATAACTCAGTGCAATGGAGATAGACTGCTGAGGCCTTATATTCCACTCGGAAGGCAAGGTAGTAGTTACCATAATTATGTAAGTCAGTCAAACTGTTGGGAGTCTGTGAATAATGCTGGCGGATGGGATGGAACACCAGGATGCTGTTTCCCTCAGGTGAATAGTAACCCAGCTATACTGTCTTTTCACTTCGGAGAAGAGGAGTTACAGAAGGTCAACCTAAAAAGCAGTACATATCGACTTACTTGCGGCCATCCATAGCTAGCAGTAACATCTTAATATGGAGGCAACTCCAGAAACTAATTCAAATAGGCCTCCGGTGATTGTTCTCTAGGCTATGGAGTCATGCAACACTATTTCCCTTCTTGTTTTAGGTACACCAAGAAGAAACCAACTTCCACGGTGTGGGTTTGCCGAAAAGTAACGACCGCCCACCACAATCACCACCCACCTTCATCTTTCTGCTTTCCTCCCATTGTCCAACCTTTATAATCTCCTATATCCAATAAGTCCTCTAGTTTCTCCAGGCTACTAATTTCTCTCCTGTACATTCCTGCTCATTACAGTTCGCATGAGTTTCTTCTGTTCCTCGTTCTTCTCTACCTTTGTGTGCTACATAGAGTATGGCAAGTTGGCCTTCTGTGCAAAGTTAGTTCGAAGTTAGTCAGCCAACCATTCATAGTAATAATATGTTACCATAACAACTTACCGAGGATTATGTACTTTCTCCTCGCCAACAGTTGTCATTGTATTGCCTAAATAATCATGTGCAGGAAATAAGATAAAATCATCTGGAAGACTAAAAATTTGTGAATGTACTGATTCGTAGAGTGTTTCAGCTGATCCACCTTGAAAATCTGTTCTTCCACAACCTCGAATCAGTAGAGCATCACCAGTAAATGCAATACCAGCAGAATGTAATACTAAAGTCATACAACCTATTGTATGTCCTATAAAGAAAAAAAATAACAAACAAACAAGTCAATGATAATAGTATTGTGGAGTGTACTACTGACAAGATTTATCAGTAGTAGATAAAGAGACGTTTATCAGGATAAAAATATCAAAAAGGGGAAATGAACCAGTATTGCGGAAAAACATGGGAGACACGAAAAGAAGATGAAGAAACACAAAAATGAAGGAAGGCCAGAAGTAGCACAACACAGAATATCTGTGTGCAAATGACAATTTCAATATAAAGTGCACATAATTTCTTCCATTGATTTCGGTTTTCTGCTAAAGTTTTCACCTGGCTCCACTCCAAGTCTGCCCACAAGCTTTCATCTCCTCTTCACATGACCTCCTCCAAGTCACCCTTGCACTGACGACCAACTCGCCGCTTCCCTTTCGGGTTCCCCTCGAAAGGTTGTCTAGTGATGTCACTTGGTGGTTTTCTCAGAGTATGGTCAATCCATCTCCATTTCTTCCTACCTATTTGTTGCACAATCGGTTCCTGCTGGGTTGATTCGCTACCAGAGATTCCTGTTGCTGATCTTTTCTGGCCATCTGATCTTGAGTATTGAGCGAAGACAACTGCTGATGAAGGTCTGTAGTTTGTTTGAGATGTTCTTTATGATGAACTGACCAAGTCTCTGATTCATCCGTATAGTAGCACTGACTTCACATTGGAGTTGAAAATCCGGATGTTATTTTTGATGCTGGGTGTTGTTGACCTCCACACAGGCTTGAGAGTAGTGAAAGCTTGTCTTGCTTTCCCAAATGTGGAGGACAAATACTGGCTCGTCAACTATGCACACTGTCCGAAGTTCGACCCTCGGCCGACGCACTCCTAAATCCTACTACTAAAGAAGGAAAGTTGGGCGTGAGGCTAGCAACCCTACCCGTAAGAAAACAGCCAGTGCTACCGAAACTTCAAAGCTCTGACCTGAAGCCGCATGTTCCACTTGGAACGTAAAGGAATAGAAAAAAACTTGTTAAAGTTCTATATTCTACTCAGAACCCAGGGGAATAATAATAATAGTAATAGTAATAATAATAATAATAATGAAAGGTATGAAAACACTTACCTGGAGTATTACGACATTCTAATTCAAAGTTACCAAATTTAATACGATCCCCAGGTCGCATCTTCATATCAGATTTAGCTCCATCATAATGACCAAGTACACTGTAAGAACCAGGAATTCGTTTTAACAATCCACTACCAGTGACATGATCTGCATGCAGGTGAGTATTAATTATAGGACCAAGTTTAAGATTCAATTGATTTAGCTACAATGTAATACATAAAGTACATTATTTTAAAATTCTCGCTGGTGTTATTGGCTGGTGGTGGCGATAGCGTTAAAAGTCATGAATTGACACAAGTTAAAATTTTTCCATTGGCCATTGGATTCCCTCCTCTCTTCCAGTGACTGAGTAGTCAGTGAGCTGACCTCGTAACCTGCAGAAAGTTACAAATTCTATTCCTGGAGGTAGGATCATGTGTGCATATTGTTGAAGAGTCCCAAACTAGGACGAAACGGCTGTTCTGCTTTTCACTGGTTCTCTAACTGATACCAATCCATGATCAAAACTTGAACCTAATCAAATCAATCCCTATAAACTAACATCAAAAAAATAATTAGCGATTCTTTGTACATAACTGAAGCACAGCATAGCATACTATGTGTCCCATTTTCAGTAATTAATTCATGTACTAAACAATGATTTACATAGAAGTTAATTGGTGGATGGTGACTAGCAGTGGAATCCACAAGGATGCGCATTTCGTCCTATTTGGGGCTCGTCATCTGGGTGTACACACCGAGGCTCATAGTTTCAAACGCCAAAGCGTCATTTACTAGACCACTTGGGTCACGAGAGCCAAATCTTGTGCAACGGGTCATATTAATTATTTAATTCAATTTTAGATTTTCTCGTCGATTGATTGGACCGAAGTGCCCGGTCTCAGGTTGATATGTCGGCTTCTTGTGCAGATGCTTCGACGATGTCTGGGCATGTAATTAGAAGTTAATTGGTGTATGGTGACTTCACAAAGTACTGGATAAAGATAAATGCCACATGAGTTATTAACCAATAAAAGTGCAGCAGACATGAGAAGCACTTCTATACTAAATCTTTTTAATTCTTCTGCAATCTCAGACCATGGAGAGCAACGAAAAGAAGGGAATACGTTGGACTAAGGAAAAGGCTCTAGAAGATCTAGACTTTACAGATGATCTACAGGTGAAAACCGAAACATTTGGCTAAAGAAACAGCAAAGACAGGATTTCAGGTGAACATAAAGACGACGGAGACGATGAGGATACCCAGTCAACAACAACAACAACAAGCACCACTCACCATCAACAGGAGGAATTCAAGGAAGTCACCTCTATCACCCACCTAAACAGGCAGCAAAGTCCAACTACAGTAAAAAAAAAAATGAAAAAGTCAAAGATAGCTAAGATCAGGAAAGTAAGATGAACGTTCATTAATCTGAAATCAGTGTGGATATCAGCTGCACTAAGTGTGAGGAACAGTATCTGTGAATTTTCAATCAATGTTCAGAGACTTGGGAGTGTGCCACCGAAAGCATTTCCAAATCACCTGCCTTCACTCTTTCCTTACTGAAGATCAGATGGCCAACCGACTAGAAAGGATAAGCAACAAGGAACTCTGGCAAGCGAGGCGGCAACCAAGAACCCACCACTCAACAAACATGCAGAAAGAAATGGAGATGGTTAGACACACACTGAGAAGATTGTTGAGTGGCATCACTTGCCAGGTCCTCGAATATAACATGAATAGAAAGCGCCAAGTAAGGCGTCCAAGGGTGACACATTCAGTAGAATATTTGAAGAAGAAATGAAAGCTTATGGGAAATCACGGAAACAGTTAAAGAAAAAGAAACCGCAGGGAGCAGATTGAAATGGCTATGTGTGCAGTTGAAATCCTATTTCCCACTCGGAACCCAATGGAAAAGTAACAATAACAAGACTGATTATATTACTAGATGGTTGGAGGCAATCGGAAGGAAGCCTTACCTGACCTAGGTTTCGTGCCTGATGGCACTCCTCAGTCAGCAAAGAGAATCTGAGGTTCGAATCCTTGTCACACAGTGATGCAGCTCACAGACGTTACCACTGAGTCATCCGCACTCACGATTGACCTACTGTAGGACTGTATTAGATACCTTGATTGGACACCAACTAGTGTCAAGATTGCAGATACGCCTTGCTGACTGACTGGTGGGTGCTAACAAGCACGAAACCTAGAGGTCAGGTAAGGCTTCCTGTTGATTGCCTCTATCTGATAACAATAATTCTGAGTGCATAGTAATGGCGAGCCACCTAGTATGGTGGCCACATTGCAGACTTGTAATTAATAGTGTTCTCTGAGCTGGTTGACGAACAGAATTCAGTCTGCAGCAAACAAAGGACTAGATACATGACACTAGTTAGTACCCAATCAAAGATTGATTATATATATATATACAAACCAAGTCCAGATGTTCCCAGGGAATGAAAGACAGAACGATACTGTTTTCCCTGACGTTTCGCTACTTAGTGCTGCTAATATCTTTGTCAAAGTAATATTAAAAACCAAAATTTACAAAATCTCAACTTATATACATTAAGCAACTTAATCATAGTTCTTCAGCATGAGGTAACTTTTACATTGTCAATTAGGCGAATGGGTAAAGATTACAAACTATGTGCAGACTGTTGGATTTGGTAAATGTATGCATTATTAAGAGGCAGTAACTCATCGAAGAAGACATTGCGAAGTGGTCGCGCTATGTCGTGAATTGACAGAAGTTGGAATTCATGGACTGGCCATTGAGGAGTCGGGTCCCAGTGGTTTAATGGACTATGGGCTCGCTAGCCTTGGAACCAGAAGGTCCTGGGTTCGAATTCCGGTGAGTGAGTACTGCTGAAGAGTCACAGACTAGGACGTGGGGAACAGCTGTCCAGTACTCCCTGGTGGGTTTTCCAATAGTTTTCTAACTGATGTCAGCTCATGATGAAATCCTCCAACCAATCCCACTTTTCTCTCAATAATTATTATCTGATTATGTTTTTACATCTAAACTTCCAGCTTATTCTTGTCATTATTACGTTTTTTATCCCTATTTGTAATCTTGTTATTCATCATAATTTTACGCTGTACCAGAAATAATTCTGGAACTTTCTCGCCACTTTACTACAAATTCATGGATGCACAGACTAGTTGATAACTTCGTCGAAAAGAAAATTTTCTTCATTGAAATCGTCGTCTTTTTAATTTTCCCTATGATTACACTGAAAAAAATAATAATTGATACCCGCTACACAAGAGGTGGCTCTCATGATTCGAGTGGCCTAGTGGATAACGTTTTGGCGTTTGAAATGATGGCTGATGGGTTCGAGTCTCAATGAGAATGTATTACTTCCGGCTGAGGAGCCCCCAACAGTACGAAATATGCAACCTGGATTTCACTGCTAGTTGCCATCCACATAATAAAAAGAAAAATTATGGTAAGAATGTTACTCTGTTCACGGTGGGGCGAGTGAATATATGTAGTGCTTTTGAACTCAGAGGTCAGGATTCAGATCCCGAATAGCTAATGATTCAGTTGTGTATAGATGGCATATTTGAAGTCCTTTTTGTTCGATATTGAGGAATTCCGTGTAACACTGTGAAGCAGTTGTGAGGAGGTGTTCAATGTCCAGAGTTGACAAGGTGTTCGAGGATAGACATACCGGTGTTCTTCTTTTCTCCTCTGCTGGACAATGTTCCAGAATACGTATGCGGAATTGACGTTGCGTACAATAAATTAAAATGTGCGCTGATGCCCCAATGGTACAACACTTGCCAACCATACACTTGGTCTGGGTTTGGTCCCCTACAGACGTACTCTTAAACCACACCTAGTCGGTAGTAAGCTCAGAAAAGAGGGGGGGTACTGGGAGTAAGGCTGACATCTCCATCCCATAGAAACGAAACGACGCCACCACCACTCAAACTTAAAACCTCAATGCTTGAAGCCTTATGTTCCACGCGGAACGCAAAGAAATCTTTTTTTAAAAACAAAGTAAATGAAAATAACTTACAACTTTAGTATCCCGTTCAACAGTTTCTAAAACAGGATCAATTAACACAGCATCTCTGGTTCGAGCATCAGCCAATAAATATGTGTATGTACAAGAAACTTTTTCAAATAATTGACGAAATATTAAAGGACCGCCTGCAGCAAGTAGAGGAACTTTTGTTGCCATTATAATCAAATTGGAGTACTGAAATAATATTCAACAATGAAAACAAAAAAACAAGGTTACAAATTAACAACCATTGAACTACATATCTAATCAATAATAACTATTGTTTCACATAGAGAAAGTGCAATAATGATTGACAGAGAAATAAACTAAACAGATTGTTGTTTCAAGTTTGATATTAGTATTAATTGAACCATTAGAAACATGGTGAGAATACTAGACGGTCGTTTTGTCCTACTTAGAGACTCTTCATCAGTAGGCATCCCAACCCCACCTCCAGGTTACGAAACCAGTCGATTAACTATTCAACAACTGAGATGGAATCTAACGGCCGGCTCATGAATTCTAAGTTCTGTTAATCTGCCATTTTAGCGAAACAACCAACCCATGTCATCGGAGAATACTTCTCCTCACACGCGACCTGGTGGACCCCACTGACCACAACTTCGTCCCCCACTCAGTCACTAGTGAGGGGATTGATATCACTTGGAGAACCAGTGAAAACCAGAAAGGAGTACTGAACAACCGTTTCGTCCTAGTTTAGGACTCTTCAGAAATTCACACCCATCACTCCATCACCATAGATCGATCCCAGGACCTCTAGGTTATGAAACGAGCTCGTTGACCACTCTCAGTAAATGAAATAGAATCCAATATCCCTTGTTTTCAACGATGCCCTAACTTGATATCAATCCATGATCAAACATGAAAAAATTAAATCTCCTACAAGCTAACTCTTGAAAGCAAATTACTAACCTACGTATTAAACGATGAATAGAGTTGACTTATTGACCACCTATTCGAAGAGTGATCAACCAATAAACTCATATGACTTTCACGAACTGAAGCAAGATGTCTGAAAAATGAAATCATTCTTAAATGTCTACATTTACGAGCCCCAGTGTCAACAGAAAAGTTGAGGTAGCAATAGAACGACTATAGAGAAAGTAGGCTTAAATGAAGAAGTTCACAAAACACTGAAAGTGTTACACAATGTCAATGAGAATGATACTGATCAGTTGAAACACAAAGATAACAGAGATAGTTAATAAAAAGGATTATGATCTTATTGTAGAATCCTTCTAACAATGACAAATTAGAATCATTTAAAAAACACTTCGATCAAGAAATTCAACAAATTATCTGAAGAGGAATCCCTATCTGAAAACAATGAGACCAATAATATGAAATCATTGACAAACGATAAGTCAAAGTGAGTTGTCAATCCCCTCAACACATATCTTAGTACATAGAGAAATAAGTGTTCAACTGTTGGTTTGTAGGGATTCGATTGATTGGTTACAGGATTTCATCATGAACTGATATCGGTTAAAAGACTTTTGGAAAACGGGGAAGGGTACTGGACAGCTGTTTCGTCCTAGTCTCTCTGGACTCTTCTTCATCAGTACGCATCCATTGAGCTTCGAACTTTCTAGTTACAAGGTGAGCTCGTAAACCATTAAGCCACTGGGACCCGATCCAATGGCCAGTCCATGAATTCTAACTTCTGTCAATTCATGATATGGCGCGACCACCAGAGAATGTCATCAGCAGTGAGTATTTGTCCTTACGCCCGAAGAGTCCCAAACTAGGACAAAACAGCTGTCCAGTACTCCCAGATTTTCCAATGGTCCTCTAGACCGATGTCAGTTCATGATGAAATTCTGAAAGAAATAAGTGTGTTGGAAAAAGGAGTAAATTCCAATGTATCAATAGATGATCTTAAACCTGAGGATGTCATCCTGAAAGTAGAAATAGCACTAAATGGGATAGATAAAAACAATTGGAGATGAAACACAAACACAATGTGTACTGACACTAAAACAACGATACCGGAAAAACAGAAGCCCTAAATAATCTTCAGAAAAACAAGAATACAGCAATTACTAAATCAGATAAAGGCAATTCAACAGTAGGTAGTACTACACAAATTAGACTATTTGGAAAAGATTAATAACCACATGCAAATATGACAGTGAAGAAATTAATAAATTAACAGACACTGCCATGAATAAAGTTTATGAAATCCACAGACTGACTTACTGACTGATTTCAACGTGGAACTTTGCACAGATGTGCAGCAGTTCCAGTTGCCACACTCCCTCCATGTAGCACACAAAGCAAGAGAAGAGAGTAAAGAGAGATAATAGAAATATGAAGCTAAAAGAATAGTAATATGGAAGAACAGTAGAGTTTTATTGGATAGTATATTCACAAGGAGTGAATGCATCTGCACCAGCCATTGACAACGATTTTGAGCCATATCACCAATTGTCGCTAGTCACCATTGGCTTTTACCATTTTTTTTCTAGGACCCCAACCAGCCAGTCAGGAAGTCTACACCTCCCTACGTGGCTGACCGGCTTTAACTAACTGTTATGGATTTCATTGACTGATCAAGCCATGTTTTGTTTTGACCACCACCTGCTGTTTTCCAATCTGATCGATCCTGTGTCAGTTAACATTGTCCGTCGAGGGAGGCAATGGCTAGGCAAGCGTAACACATGTCCTAACCATCTCGATTGATTTCCCCTTCTTACCTAGCACTCGATGCCTAACCTCAATATTGCTCAACCTATTATACCACTTAACACGGGAGATAGAAATCCACAGCAAACCATATAATCCCGAATGAAACCGTTTCTAGGTGAGTATAAATGGTTTAATCCGATACCCAAAATTAATAACCCCAAGAGGGTGTATGGTGTTGTTAAAGTTCATAAGTTAGGGTACCCTATTGGACGCATAGTTGATTGTAGAAATTCACCTACTACTAATTGTGAACTGTCCAAATATTAAGCCATGTTATTAAATCCATTTACACGCCACTTAAAATTGACTCACTAACTACGGATAATTTAAAGTTAGATAGTGAAGAAAAAATTATTCGCCTAAACATTATCAGTTTACATGCAAAAACCTAGCAAAATCTGGATTAGTAGACCTTAATAAGATAAGAAATCTAGAGAAAGTGCTCAGCTACAGCACTACATGCGCAGTTACACACAACCATACAGTAGGATGAGACAAGATGATTATCTTATAAATCTAATATAACATGTTAAAGGAGGAGAAAGATAACTGACTAAACCTTTTATTCATCGATTCAACTGAGTACACGTACGCAACAGGGATGATTCAACAACAGCTGTTAATCCAAAAATCTGGAAAATTCTACTATCCAATAAAGACAAACGCGGAGGAAGACACAAGAAAAGAAAAATCAAATTTCGGAGTTGTGTAATTCCAACTGATGGTATGATTATGAACAACAACTTGTTTCCGAAACTTCACTGTGTGTGTTGGATATATCCAATGCACAAATTAATATGTGCGTTGGTGGCACAGTGGTTAGGACTCTCGCCGAACATGCACATGGTCCGGGGTTCGATCCCCTACCGACGCACACCCGATATCTATGGTCGGCCTGCAAAATTTGGGCTACCGATATCCATGCTGAAAATTCCATACTTGTACTGAAAAAATACGGTGTGGCATCAAGCTGTAGGCAAAAATCAAATCAAATATGGAACTACATACTATTACTGTGTGGGGGAGCTGTCTGCTAGCCAAAATTGTAGACAACAATTTACGTCAATGTTCACGTCCCGAATCGGGGTAATGAGAAAAAACAGCAACAAAGCTTAACCTTGAGGAACTCAACAACCAATCACAGCAGACTTGACGTGTGAACATGCGATTCGCAGATATATGGCTTAACTTTCTAAGAAACGGTCGCAAGGAGAAAAACAGAATAACCTTCAGCAAGAAAACAACCAATCAGAAGACGTTGGTCCTCTCTCTGGTGACACATACATAAAAATCTATAAATATCTCTTGATTTTTTCAATAAACCATCTGTTGCCAGGCCCTTACCTTCTGTCGTTGCACTACTACAGTGCCCAGATTTTACACGCCTATTTAAATTAAACTGTAATCAAAAATCGATGTAACGAGTTAATTATTTTAAACACCTGTAGTAAATTTTTAGTTTACTGCTTCACTTAACCTGATTCCATTAGCTAGTTAGCATCATATAATTAATATACCAGTGTAAAATAAATCTACTGGGTGCAACCACTCTAAAATTATACACAAATTTGTCATACACATATTTACATGAAAATTAACCGAGTACAAAAGGTTAACATTTATAAAAAAAATACATCAATATTAATATTTGAATTGCCATGGCTTTTAAAATTGAATTAATAAGACAGATCCCATGTAAGAACAACTTTAGTTTTGAACAACAACAAAAATAGGTTTAAACCATTTTTGTGCCCCGGGTTTCAATAAATCTCTAGCTACTTATTATTACTTTTTTTAGGAAACGATATATGGAGAAGCTTCTTACTTTGAAGCTTTAAAACACAAATGATCACTACCTAATATATAATAAATATATTCACATACTAAAATGTAAGGTTCTATTACTTCGATCGATCACTTCATTTACAGCCTGAATGAGCCGACTGCTGAGGATTCGTATGACGTTCACCAACTTACATCATCATCATCTTTAGCGTACGTATGAATCCGCCTATCTCACAGAAGGATGTGTGTAATGCTCAGAAATTCGCTTCATCCTTCTCTATAGCCACTTGATATGGCCACTGCAAATAGAAGATTTGACGAGGCTAGCTGCCTCTCATCAGAAATGTTCACATTCTATCTCCTGTATTTCAGCGGTATGATATGGTGAGTAATATTGAGGCTAGGCTTAGAGTGTTAGGTGGTAAGGGTAAGTCAATGAATGAGGTTATGAAGCTAAATCGATTGAAATGGCTAGGACGCCTGTTACGTGTGCCAGCTCATTGCCTTCTTCGTTGGGCAATGTTAGCCGACATAAGATCAAGTTGAAAAAAAAAGAGTTAAGGGTGATCAAACCAAAACATGGAATCAATCCATGAAGTCTTTGACTGTTGGTATCAGCTGGTCACGTAGAGAGATATAGACGGCTTTGTCAGGGACCTCAGATACTAAGAACCAATGGTAGGATACTGTTGGTGATAGGGTAAAAAATCGTTATCAGTGGAGCAGATGCATTCACTCTTTGTAATCTCTCATTTCCATTAAACCCCAATGTTTTTCCATGTTACCATTTTTTCGCCTGCTGATCAAAGTTCCTTTCATTCTTTATTTTTCTCTTTTATTTACCTTCGCATACTACAAGGTAGTGTGGCAAGCTGAACTGGGGCACTTCTGTGCAAAGTTCTATGCTGTAGCTTAATCATTCATTTCACTATTTATTCCTTTAAATCAATAATAAGTATCTACAACAATGTTCTTGTCTAGTCCTTCTCTAAATATTACAACCCAAATGTAGGAACTAACATTTCGCCGTAAATAAATTAAAGTACATGATGACTACGTGAAACCAGCTGGGAAATCTGCTGTCACTCAGCCAGGAAGCATAAAGAACGAGATTCGAATTTTCAACCCAAATGTCAAGTCAGTCAGTTCTTCTATACGGGTCAGAAACTTGCACTGCGAACCCGTCACGAAAAACATTTCCAACAAGCCACTGCAGACTTTCATCAACAACTGCCACATTCACCGGCTAGCTGGTCAGAAAGAATTAGCAACAAGAAACTGGCCGGGAACAAATCAACAGGCGAGAGCGGATTGCTCAACATATATGCAGGAGAAAATGGAGATGGATTGGGAATACCTTGAGGAGGCCGTCGAATGACATCGCACACAATGCAGGCTATTGCTCGAGTGGAATCCCAATAAGAAGCGACGAGTGGGTGACATGGAGGCGATCGTGTGGCGAGGAGGAAATGAGAGATTATGGGAAATCGTGGCCCCGGCTGAAGAGAACGGCAGGAAATAGGACAAAGTGGAGATGTTTTTGAAGCCCTATATTCCCCTCGGAACCCAAGGGAATAATAATATAATAATGTGGCAGCGTACGGAGTAACATTTTTGCTGCAGAACTAAAAAGATCTACATAACTAGAAGTGTGGCATATACTCAAATCTAAGCTTTTTCTCAGTAGCCTTTAAAAGCAGAACACAACTATGATTGGTGACAAAAATATAAGATGTGCACTCTCTAAAAAGATATAAGGCAATCATAAAATCAACAAAGCAAGATCAAATTCCTAGTATAAAATGACATCATTTTATTTTACACGTTCTCATCAGCTGTAGACTACATGAAATTACAACGGCTATAGTAGAAACAAAATAACACCCTTCAGTGTTGGAATAATGACAAAGAAAATGTTGTAAATTAAGGCGTTTAAAATGATCTACTTCTTGGGATATATCTTCGCGACATAGACCCATGGAATAATATGATGTCATCGCTTGGTTGACAATAAAACCAGTAATGGAAACGATTAACATAATTTGTCAATAAAACATCCGCTAACATTACTACTTTTTCGGACAAAAAACATTCGGGTCTAATTTAATAACCAGCTTTACCGATAAATTAGTAAGGTTTCAATCGGTTCGGCTCATATCTGGGACGTAGTCTGGTCGATGTTTTCATGACCTATCTTGAACAGACACAGATGAGTTCTATGATTTATGAAAACACCTGTTATCGCCAATACGTTAATGGTATGTTTATCACATCTGTAACGATATGAATCACGCACCTAAATTATTTGACTGCCTCAACAAGATCCATTCTGATATTAAATTCACCATGGAATATGAACATGACGAGCTCAGCTTTCTGAGTCTTAACGTGAAAAGAAACGATGGTACGTTCAAAAAGTTTGTCAATAGAAAATAAACTTGGAATTCAGGACAATATCTTCATTACAACAGCTTCTATCCTTTCAGTTATAAGCGTGGATTAGTGAAAACAATCTATGGCAGTCAGGAAGCTATGTTCATCCAAAAAACCAAAGGAAAAATTACACTCTGTTTAAAAATGCTTAAGAGAGAGTAGATATCCTAAAGGACTTATCCTGAAGTATGGTCCAAAAACAAAAGTCGAGAAAACGAAACACATAAATGTAGAAAAAAGAAAGTCTTTATTCATCTCTTCCATACAAAAGAGAAACAATATCACAAAAGATTGACAAAAGAATAAAAGGGTCAATAAAATGATGTTTCCCTCTAGCTAATGTTGTATCGTTATACAACACTACATGCTTAGTATGTCAATCCAAACTGGATCAGTACCCTGCTGATTTCATCCCCAACTGTGTTTATAAATTTATATGCACGTGTAGTAGCAAGTACATCAGAAAGACATAAAGGATTTCGATCCAATTTCCTCAGCATATTCCAAGAAATATATGTTTAAATGGAAGCAGATATTTACAAAGCACGATATCTCGAAATCCTCCAGTATATGTGTAAAGACACCAAATTTACTACGATTAGCTGAAGCGATTACAATCAGTCATTTTCAAGCAAACTTACGCATACTGCACGAAAGTGAGATCTCTAACTCCCTTGGTGACTATATTTTGATTTTTATCACATTGATTGCATAATCATTCCATACTAGTAATTTCACTTCACTGAACTGGTTCAAGTCTTATGAACTATAACTTTCCGGATTTTTTATGTAACCTTATGGGCTAGCAGTGTTTGCCACTTTTTCCGTGTTCTGTCTTATCCTGTCTTTACCTTTCAATAGTGCAGTGAACATAAACTGATGATTTGCGGTACTTATCGCAACCGCCAGCCAATGTCACAGCATGCGTACTGATGAAAAGTCCCAAACTAGGATGAGACAGTTGTCCAGTACTCCCTGGTTTTCCAATGGTTGTCAAATCGATGTCAATTCATGACTGATCCTGTAACCAATCCCTGAAAACCAACACTTGGTAATTAATCTGATATTCGCTGGCGACTGGATCCACACTGGAAGTTACCTGGAGTTCTAGTGAAAAGTCGTAACTAATAGGGTCAACTAAGTCAGGCAAGAGGACGGTTACTCAGCTGTGAAATTGGCTTGAGATTGCGCTAAATATCCTAAAGTGGCAGAAGTTAGAATCCATGAACCACCGAACCGGGTCCCAGTGACTGAATGGTTTACGGATTTTCCTTGTAACTGGAAGGTCCTGGGTTCGGACCCCGGTAAGCGCGTACTGACGAAGAGTCCCAAATTAGCACGAAACAGCTGTCCAGTACTCCATGATCTTCCAGTAGTTCTCTAAATGATGTCAGTTCGTGGTCGAACCTGAAACCAATCAACTGCCTCTAAAGCAACACTTAATAACAAACTGATGAATAGAACTAAAAATTGTGATGCTTACACTTTTGATGCCTTGATTCATAGGCTAACCTCTGCTATATGCAAACACTGAAGCATGTTATTTTCATGCATTCTCTTATCATTATCGTCATTTCAGGTGGTCTACAACTGATGAGAACCTGTGAAGACGAAATGACATCTTGCATATTTGATCTTTTAAGCTGTAAGAAAACTTATCAAAAGAACCCCGTCCACGAATAATCACAATATATTAAGTTTTTTTCCATTTTCTCCTGTGAAAAACTATAAAATGAATCGAAATACATTAAATGCCCCAACTGCAGAATGAATACATTTCATGTTTACACAGGTATTGTATACTACCTTGAAGTGACAAGTTACTCTACATATATACCGTTTTAATATCTCCTACCGAAGCAGTGAGTACTGGATACAGCCAGAGTTACAACTTAGCATAAACGAAACCGTACATGCAAGAGCACCTACTGTGTGAACTAGTAATACCACCTGGTCGCATAAATCTCGAGGTAGAGCAAAACACCTGAAGACTGTCATTAGTTCACGTGACAAAGTAAGTGAGGATGTTAAGTAAGCAAGGAAAACTAGGCAATTAAAAGTAATAAAGAAATACCAATGAATGACTCAATGCTAACTACTGACAATGCTATACGAAAACCAAATTGCATTGAGGATACAAGGAACATAGGAGTACCAAACCCAAAATAACCAGGTAGATTTAACTCCTGAAATAGAGTGCAATGATCAAGTCATCCCTTAAAACACAGGTTCACTCACCGATGTCGAAAATGCCATATTTCTTAACCTGGAAAGGGTATTTGTCTTCCTTAATCTGGAGGTGCTAGGACATTGTTTAGTTGTAATGGGAGCGTCAAGAATGTATGCGTTACTCACTAGCGCACTCTACTCGAACTTGTGCAGCCATGTAAGGACTTACACACAGCTGTCATCTGGTGTGGCGACAATCAGCTGTTTCTGTCAGGGTTGCCAACTTTCAAGATACAAGCACTACTGAATGTAATCCTAGTTGAGTCCAATCTCTCAAAAATAGACATTTTAACAGGAAAACATTTCCCTGATTTTCGGTATACAGATGATATTATCCCTTTAAGTGATTACACTGACAAATACAAAATTTTCTGAACACCCAGGACACATACCCAAGTACTTTTGGCATTTCATTCACGACCTTAGATATCGGCGTGATATGCGGCTATCCATCAAAGAACTTGTGTACTATGCATCAGTCTGTTCCGCCTTAAAATGCAGCTGAGATTTGGCTACTGGAGGCAGAGTCCATGAAAAGATTATTACTTTTACCACGCTAGGCGGTGAAACACGACAATTAATACAAGTTATATGTAGATTTTCGAGTAATGTAGATTTTCGAAGCCATAAAACTCCATCGATTGAAATAATTAGATCATGTATTACCCGTTTCACCCTACTGACTTCCTTGTCAAACTAGTCAGCTGAAAAGATATTACCCTGGAAAGGATTTATCAGTAGTCAAACAGAAAAATAGCACCAATCCATGAAGCCTTTTACTATATTTGAACTATGTAGATAAATGCAGACCGCCTGGTTGAGGTCCTCAAGATTCTCAGAGTCGGTAGCTGGAGATTGTTTTCGCCATGGTCTGAAATTGTTTGTAACGGTGCCTATGTATTCACCTCTTTTTTTTATTACAGCTTGATTCCACATCGTATTTTTTGGTACAGGTATGGAATTTTCAGCATGTGATATCGGTAGCCCAAATTTTGCAGGCGGACCATAGATATCAGGTGTGCGTCGGCAGGAGATCGAACCCCGGACCATGTGCATGATCGGCGAGAGTCATAACCGCTGTGCCACCGACGCACATTCAAATTCTGAAAATACCAACTAATCCTCATTTGACTATTTTTTTTTCTCTTGTTGCCCATTGTTTCTTTCCTTTGTTTCTGTTTGCTTTTCTGAATTCCGGAAACTCAAACTCTTGCACTTCTGATTTTTTATTTAGTTGTTTGTAGCCTAAACATACTGTCTACTTTTAACTACTGTTTTTCAAATTTACGCGAGTAGAACCACTGAGCTATGTAGTAGACCCTTTAATGGCATTCAGCCATTATACTGGCCCAAGTGGTCTAGTGGATAACGCTGTGCGTCGGTGGCACAGTGGTTAGGACTCTCGCCGATCATGCACATGGTCCGGGGTTCGATCCCCTGCCGGCGCACACCCGATATCTATGGTTGGCCTGAATTTGGGCTACCGATATCCAAGCTGAAAATTCCATACTTGTACTGAAAATAAGGTGTGGAATCAAGCTGTAAATCAAAAAAAAAGTCCCTGTGATATGATATTCAATGACACAGTATTATCAACTGGGCGATTCTGAGCAAAACTAATCACCTAACAAAAAACTGAACTGTCTTCTGAAAAACCATCCCGTTAACAACAATGTACACCTGTGTCATAACGTATAGGATTATTTGATATAGACGCATACTTTACTACACTGAACGAATTCTACTGTTATACTGTCACAGTTCCAGAGTACTGCAAATTAGTGGAGTCATATGAGCCTTCGGCAGAGATGCTGGGGTCTGGTCAGTAGTCACCTGTGAATGTGAAATTATTGAACTATTCACCTAATTCACTTCTCACAACAGATGATCTATTCATGTACAGCAGTATGCAATGAACATGATATCAAAATTACTGCATAGTGGAATCAATTGGCTAAAAATAAGTCCAATAACCTCACTGATAAGTGAGTTATGCAACATCAGCGAGTTTAACTTTATCAAGACTTCAACTGCAGTTCCCTACACTAAGCCGTTGTGGAGTGTAAGATCCCCAACAGAAACTCACTTCAAATAAGAACGGTAACCCGTGGAAAATGCATCAAAGACGAAGAAGGAGTAAGTGCGAAAATTGAGATGTCATGTAATGTATGTTCGTGCAAAACCACGACAGCATCCCATAAAATATAATAAGAATATCTTCATACCCTTCAAATTATGTGCAGGAATTCATACTATTAAAAATCATATAATTTCATTTCGAGGTTCATTTATTGCTCGAACTCTGATTTCACCTAAAAACTCCTCTTATCATGAATATCGAAAGAATTTTGAGGAATTCTCAGAAATTTCCAAGTAGTTATGATGTTTTGCAAAGTCTCATGGGGAAAATGGCAATATTTTGATGCGTTTCCCAAAAAAAAATTACGTTAATCTGCCATATGGCTACCAGTATTGGTACATAACCACTTCAAACACATAATAATCCCTAGAGCACATCACTTACTACTTGTCACTATGTGCGGGTGAACTATTGCTCCTGCCTTAATAGCTCACCAGTGACCTTGGATTGACCAGTCACATTGAAAAGATAAGAATATGCGGAAACATTGTTTCTTCAAGAAATGTCTTGAGATGTGAAAAAATATTGAGGGGGGAAAACGGGGCCAAGTTAAAATTTAAGCACCACTAAATACGAATGGATTGCATCTGTACCACTGACCTTGAATGGTATAATGAGTTTTATTCATGAGTTGAAGCTTCTACTCCTACTGATTCGAGTAATGCTTAAAGTTTAACCTTGGCGTACTTAAATGCTTGATTTTGATGAAATTTGCTGCGTTATTCGTATACGGTATCCATATACGGTATCCGCCTATTTCTACGAACTCATTTGACCGGTAACTCAAGGTCATCAATCCCTTCATTAGGTAGTTCCGTTTCGGGTTGCTATAGTTGAGGATCACCGAAAAATATTTGTTTGCGGAGCTAATCTGTATTAGCCCGATGTTGGACATAAAGGCGAGGCGAAGGTAGAAGTATCATAGCCAAATTCAAGGTTTCTCTGAAGTTGACCTGCAATAACCAGTCACATTTAGGGAATGCTGTGAAACGCCATTCCAAATAAAAACATGCCTGCCTTTTGGATGTGGAGACGGCAGTTACTGTCTCCTACTTATCCTCCACCATGTTTTGCCACAATGGACGTATGTTTTTCGCTCTCTTGGTAAATCTGAATTTGGTGTTCGCATGTCTATTAAGGTTGTAGTGTACATTGTACCTTCGAACTTTTGTTTGAACGGACTCAGCCTGACCTTTAACCCCACTTCCACTTTGTATTCCTGAACCTCCTGTACGGTTTCGGTTTCGCCCTCTCGCTGTGCTTTCACCTAGCACACTCTCCGAGCTTACACTGCCTCACTTACAGATAAGTGTGTACCTCTTATTTCTTATCAAATTATATATATATCTTTTGTGTAAATACAATTCTGTTCCAGTCACACTTGCCATCTCAAGTCCTTTAACCTTGATTCCGTTCGTTAGTACTTGCACATTAGGCAGAGTACGATTAAGGCCATAAGCGGTGAAGAAGTTTTGTAAGAGTGGTTGTTGTTAGGTCGAAGTATACTAAGTCTAACTCTTACAAGGTCATCATTCAAGCTCTAGCTATCCCTAAAATGCTCATGAGTTTTCCAGGTACCTTGGGTGGATTTGCGGTTTCATGACTAAATTTTCCTGGAATGTTCATCAGTCCTCCCTGACTTTTGTACTGTACTGATTTCTTAACCCCAGCTATTCGCCATAATCTGAGTCCCTGTCTTAAGGCTAACTTCAATGTTTCTTTTGACCACTGTGTTCACTGGGATTTCTAGGTTAACACACGGACAGAGTCACTGATAGTGCAAGGTACTGGCATTGCTGCGGGAAGGCTACACTGTACCAGTCATTAGAGAATATCAATTATGTAGTCACCCAATTATTCACTTCTCTACCTGAACTGCAAATACTTGTGGCAGAACACAAATTAAAAAGACTTAGTTACTTGGGCAAAATAAATGGTCAAGACTATCCAGAGAAAAAGATTAAGAACTGATCTAATTAATACGTTTGTACTGCAAGCTCAAATGATGTGCGTCCTGAGAGCCCAAGAAGAAAGCGAAAAATGGCCTTGGTAATCTGCAATCGATAAAGGCGCGCGGTGTGACAGTTGCTACCGTCAGTTGATAACATGTACACCAAACCAGCCCTTGCAGTATACAAAACCTACTGTAAAAACCCGGTAGCACACTGTCTGTATAACGATTACCGCATCGCAACTGGACACCGTACCAAAAAATCAAGCGCCATGCTTAATGGGATGTTGAAGCCTATGGACTAAAAGGTCCTTCACCCCGAGAGGAGAGCAGCTATTGCTCAGATACCGATGACGCGGTTAGCGTCATTGACAAAACAGTACACATACTCTATGGGTCACTGCCAGGGAGTGAAGGTCTTCCGTCACGAGGGAACATCAACCATAGCTTGAACACCCACACTGTCCCTACTATCCCTGATTAGACCTCAGTACTCATAATGAGATGGTAATTGGATGCTTTAACACCGATTCGCCTATTTCTCGCAAGAGAAAAAGGCATAGCAGCGGTTGGAGAAATGCACTCACAGTCACCCCTGAGCTGTAGGACAAACCTCATCCACATAAGCTGACAGTAGGCAGCTACATACAGATAGTGACCTCATCGCTATACACCGCAGTCCCGACAGGAATGAGGAAAACCTTCTGAGGGAGATCCTAGGCTCGTGGACATTCACATGCCGGAGTCTCGTAGTCGATAACCCCTGCACACCCAACAGTTGACTGAATAAGCCTCACAAGGCCGTTCTTAGACAACTCCTTCACATACAAACAGCGGGAATCTACGAAATATTTTGGCGACCAGAGAACCCGAATTCCAATATAATTCAGTACGAATGTTTTAACCATGTCCGTAAGTTTCAGACAAGTCCGGTTACTGTTACAACAGCAACCAAAGTGTCATGAAGGCTTCCAAGTGGAACTTCTTGAAGTGCTTAATGGTAAATTATCTTTGCAGTCATCTAGCCAGTCCCAGACTCAGATTATTGATCCCGTGATTCAGTCAGCCGCGGAAGCCCATAGCAATTTATCAGTCGACGCACTGTTTTTACACTTCGGTTTCAATGAATCCATGAAAACTGATGCCAATAGTGCATCAAAATCTAGTTAAAAGGCACTATTTGCGCAAAAGCAGATGTGACCAGTTTAAGTGCAGAGTTATGCACTACAGTTTCTCTAATATCAGAGGAGAAGGGAGTATTCTTTCCAGTTTCCACTACGTGCCATGTCACTAAAAAGGCTTCTGGAGATGTTTTGAACTCAGTTGGTGAAATCTCTTGTGGTATTCAAATCATTTCTAAGAATTTTGAGGATTTATATCATCTTGCCAACAAGTAGTTAGAATGGTTCACCGAATGGATACTCCTGATCAACATAGTGAAATGCGCAATCATGAGAATAGGACACTGAAGTGGCAGCTCATACGAACAGGGGGTGAATAACAATCCCTTCATGTGGAACTAGGTGTCTCAGTAAATCACAACTTAAAAACAACAGCACACTGTCCTGCTGTGTCAGCCCATAGTTCCAGAACTCTATGATCAGTTCCCAGGTCAAATAAATTATAATTCAATAGTTTACGCACAATGGTAAGATTTTGTTTTTGGCAATATTTCAGATAAAGTTACTGCCCGTGACCACACCAACTATTGAAATTGTTTTGTTTTTAATTCACACTTTTATGATTTGTGCTCACACACACAGTTCATTATTTCTCCATTCACTCTTTGTATCCAAAATTATATTCCAGGTTCTTGATAGTTGCGTTTAAACTACTGAAATATAAATACAATTTATTCGATCTAACTCACAATCCCCAACGTTTTACGGACATTAATTCCCAGAAAGTTTACTAGAATCACCAGAGTTATGATCACCTCTTCATACATGTTTCGAGTGCGGTCAAGATTGGAAAACTGTATCCAGGAAGTCAGTCCTTGTCTTAATAGGGACCCACATATTCTAGAAAGGTTTCACAGGAAGGCAACGCGTGTGATTATTGCCACGACGAATTTATCATGCGAAGTGGGACTAGACAGTTTTGATCTCTTCTCTTTGTTATACCATAAGCAGGAAGAGGATCTCATTACAGTGTTTAAATGATCGATTTTCTCTTTTCCTTCCCACCAAGTTGGAACACCCCAGAGGGTATAACAGGGCAGTTCAAAAGCCAAGAGGAGAATGAATCCCTGTAGTATGTTGGTTCTTTCACCAAGCCTTCAACCACTTAAACCAACTCCGAGGAGAACTGGTGTCAGAGCCCTCAAGTGAATCGTTCAAGAAGGGTTTGGGAAGCATATAAACCTGTTGGAAAAGGATTAACATAAACTTTTAGCCTTCTATTCTCAGTCACCAAATCGGAATCCTAATCTGTAAACAATTTCAAACATCGGTGGTCTGCATTTACATGACCATTCGGAATTGGGACTAGCATTTACTATGTAACTCAACTGGTCATGCTGAAGATGCACGGCCAAGTAATCATGTCATTTGGCACAACTTTGTTTTACATTTTATAACCCTTGACTTAATTTTCTAACTACTCAATAGTCTTTCGTCATGCAAATCTTCCGAATGGCTGTTAAATTCATTGCTTAGTTCGTTTGATCTGGTGGCTTTTTTCCCCACTCACCAGCTGTATACCAACTTTGGGGAGGAAATTCTGACAGTGGGACTCAGTCGTCAACTGCATTGCATGGAGATGATCACTTGTTTACTCAGAAGTACATAAAAGTAGGTGCTACAGCCAATGCGTGAATAACACTCTGAAGATGTGGACTCGCACTCTTCGAACAACTCCAAAGCAAAACCTAACTGTTCCACATAGAATTTTACTGACAATAGACTGTTGAAAGACTTCAGGATTAATCATTCTATTTAACAAAATGTATCAGATAGTTATTCTGCATTCTTTCAAATATGAGCTTATCTGGTGGCGCCACTTCAAATAGAGGATATGCCATACAATCGCCTGTTATCTGGCATCCAAATAGGAAGAACACAATAGCTGAACACAAAGTGGCTCTCAGTTAGTAAAAAATTGCATTCAAACTGAAATTTGTGCTACAGTACTACAAACGGCATAGTTAACACAAAATCCGAAAAGCTATATAAAGTACGATTTTAAAGTTTGAAGATGAAATCAGTGATATTCTTACTCATTTATGTAAGGGCAGAACTTGGGCACTTTGTTGAAGTACAACTCAATGTTGGATAAGTTTACTTCATTTAACACAGCGATTCAGTCTTGATAAATCGATGATGTTTCGAGCACAATTTATTGCTCACAATCACATTAACTTAGTAAGGCTGATTAATAATTAATACTGCATCACTGTGAGTTACAACAAAAAATTATCTAATATGGAACTATACTCTTATTCAGGCGAGGAGCTATTTGTGCAGTATTTTGAGTAGTGCTATACGTAAACCACTGAATTAAGACATACATTTTATGTACAAATTGTAAGCCGCTTGAGTTCAGAGATATAGATGGGTTGAAATTCAAAATGACCTAGGGAGTATCGAACATATCGCGAACTTTTCGTCTTAAATAATGCCAAAACCAAGTCCGACACTACTTTTGCTGGAAAGTAGAGACAAAATTAAAATACTTCTCTTCCTTGTTGGTTAAAGGACGCTTCTTCGTCATCAGTAAACATCTCTGGTGCCACTTCCGCTACTAGCCTACCCAAATTTAGTGAAGTATAAGGCAAGTGGAATGAAATTTACGTTAAGAGGGTAGTCTGAGGTTTGAGTTTTAGACTGTGGTACCTGTAAGACCAAAGTTTCATTCATCATTATCGGGTGGACAAAGAGAATGCATAACAATAAAATAAATGAAGACAGAGACAATTTTGAAGAAGTGGAAGCAGAAATAAAACAGAAGTAAGCCAGTAAAGAAACAGATACATATTCATCAGTAGACGAAAAGGGGCAGTAAAGACTGGGGACCCTAAGGTAATAAATAGGGTGGTCAGTGTGTCGCGTTAGGTTAAATAATGTTTCCACAGTAGAGTGTTTTGGAATTATATCCCCACTTAGTCTGGCCGATTCTACACCAGTATTCTTACTGTTCTACATGCTGACATGGCACGTGGAACTGGTACCATTTATTGTCATTTCTCAACCAGAAATGACTTCAGTAACCTTCATATGGTATTCAAACCAAGTGGACATAATTCTTTGCCGAATAACCGGCTGATCACACCCGTGGCTCACTTTTACTTGTTAACTAAACAACATCTACCACTAACCAAATAATTAAGAAAAAAATAAAAACGTCCATTTCAATCGAATGTGTCTAACATACCCTGGCTTAAGCTCTGCTCACGGAACGGAACAGACTTCGAGCAAAAAACTGGACTCAAAACATAGTCAGAAATGTAGTCAATGGTATCTTTTGGGTACCTTTCCATTGTTCGCTAACATTGACACTGTAAATTAAAAGAGAATATTCATCCATTTCGTAATGACAATTAGTACACATTGATCTAGGCAACGCTACGAAGGCCTGGGTCACCCACGACAACATTAAAATGAAAAACAAAGAGGGACAGGCGGGGAGCACTACACGTATCACGCACGCATGCGTCGGTTGCACAGTGGTTAGGACTCTCGCTGACCATGCACATGGTCCGGGGTTCGATCCCCTGCCGGCGCACACCCAAAATCTATGGTCGGCCTGAATTTGGGCTACCGATATCCATGCTGAAAATTCCACACTTGTACTGAAAATACGGTGTGGAATCAAGCTGTGAATCAAAATTTTAAAAAATCAAAATCAAAATAAATAAAGATAAAAGCGTCACATGTCAACACTTTCGGAAGCCATGCCGCGTCACTAAATTATTGCAAAGTCGGTGTTTGACAGCACTATCACCGCCCATCATGCTAACTCCAGCAAAAACGTTTTCCCGGCCAACCCGATGCCCGTGGTTGTCTCTTTGCAATGATATGAGGCAGTAGATTTCGTGTCTTTTGACAGCCAGCTGATATACATGGATGCGAAGACGGAGATGGAGTCCACCTTGACCAATGTAATGTTTTTAAAGGTCGTTACGATTTTCCTTGTAATTAATGTTGGTTTCGTCTGCTTTCAATTTTAAGTCTTTTGGTTGACACAGGGCCCGGTGAAGTGATTTCGTTGGTTTATGGACGACATGGATTCCAGAAGATTTGATCAGTCTTGCGGTGATTTTGGAGATGTTCTTGATATATAGTAGAACAAATTTCTTTGTGTTTCAACCGGAAACTTCTTGCCTGGTTAGTTAGATTAAGGGTGGGTGTATTTTGATGAAGTTTCATGGGTATCCATTTTTTGAAGATTGACATAAGATATTTTTCTCAGTTTATACTTTACAGCTGTCTTCCAAGACGTATAATGTTCAAATATTAGGCAGAGGAAACACTAAAACGCCAGGGAATTCATAGAAACATGGTATTCAAATCAGCTGACAGTCAACAGACACTGTGACACAAATTTTACCAATCCTTAAGAAGGAAATCATGGAAACAGAAGGTCATTTTTCAGCTCAAGAAAACAACCAATACAAAAACAGTGGGACTAGAAGGTGGCAAAATACGCAATTTCACTGGTGGAATACTTCAGAATCGGCTGTATTATAGAATATTCGTCCAGATAATTGGTTTGGGTAACCTGTTGAAATTCTTGAGTTTGCCTCTTCGTATTAAATAAACAGTTTTGAATTTAATATCAGAAGTTAGAAAGAAATTGTGCAATTTGTTACCATAGTTGGCATCCTCAGTCGAAATCGTAAGAATGTATTATTGAGCACACTGAAACTTTGTTTTAATGGCATGAACACTTCTAATTGGTCACAAGACTTTTGTCTGCCCCGTGTAGCCTTGATGTTCCATGTTGAGTAGGCGGGTTATCTGAATTGTGTCCTGGATTTTAATGCAGTGCTTATTAGTTTATTTCTCCTCACGGTAAGTCACTTTGTCACATTACTTTACTCAGTATACTGTCGTTCTCTGATTGTGAATGTATTCATTAATTCGTTTTATGAGGTCATTTCTATGATATATACGGTTATGCATTATTTAAAAACAAAATTGTACTCATTGCAGAGTTACAGATCCTGCTGCTTGGCTTTATTAATTGTATTTACTGACTTCAAAGTAGTATCTGGTAATTGAATACATTCCCTAGCTGTTATATTCCCACACTCAGCTATAATGCTATGGCTTGAATAACAAGGCTAGTATTGTTGACTTGACTAAACTCGCTCTGTTCTCTGCAGCCTTTTAACAGTCTGAAGGCTCAAATCTAAATCAGAGCGGAAGTTGGCTCTCTCAGACTGGGTCAATTCCCTCAGATATTGTGGTGGTTTGTGTTCGCTACGCTTTATAATGCCTCGACATTCCCTCCACCACCAAACATCCTAACACCTTTCATTTGAGAGAGATGGCTTCTTCAGGTGAAGAAATGTGGCGTGTTAGACGAAGGCAAGTATGATTGTTTCGTGATATTTCAAAGGATGGATTGATAAGGGCACTTTCTCTGTATAGAATCTGTATGGTTAGTCTAACTGGTGATCACCTAACGCCCCATGGCTTCAGCATAATTCACTTTTTAAGTAGCGTCGCTGACAGCCAGGTGGTGTTGTTTACTGTTATTGACTTATTGGTTGAATTGCTTGTATTTTTAGCAGACTTCATATCCCTAATCATTTTGGTAAATGGTTCTGTGACAATCCTCATAGGTTTGCTCAACTTATTGGGATTCCTGCAGCAACAATGTTACTTGTGCATACAGCATATGTTCTTTACTGCTACAGGTGATTGGTCTGTTATTTCTTCACATCAAGGGTGATTAGATGCATATAGTCCGTCTTAGAACATAGTTATGTCAGACTTCTCGGATAAAAGGTGAGCTTAATGGGCATACTTGTTCATGGAGTAAATGTTCACTGTGATGAGTGTTGAGGAATTGATAGGCTCTTGCATTTTCCGTGAATGTTTTACACTATTTTAGATACATGTCTAGATATCATATTAGCGATATACCTGATAAGTGTAACAGACAATGGCATATAATGTGTAAAACGTGGGCACTGCAGTAGTACGTAATTCCATATTAATTTGTTTGTTAGGTATATCACAGTGAAATAGTATTATTTACTGGATAAAGTGTTGCAAAATGTTTGTTGTTTACACTCATGATGTCACTTCTAACTGCAACTTCAGAAGTCAGTCCTTTCTACCATTACTCATTCTGTTTCACTCTTATACTTGTCAAAACTCTATTGATTCTCTTCACTCATATTCTTGTCTACCTTAGTGTGCTATTTGGAACGTGTCAACTCGAACTGCTGCACTTCGGTGCCAAGTTCTATGTTGAATCCAGACAGACAGCAACTTCAGTAATTGATTCCTCTTGTTCGTGTGTTGTTTCCTATTTATCGCATTATTATTATTGTCCCCTTGAGTTTCATGTGGGAATAGGGCTTTGGCTGCACATCTCCACTTTGTCCCATTTTCTGTGGTTTTGTTTATTTGGCCACACGATTACCCATAGTGTCTGATCTCACGATCCCTATGTCACACTCAGCCTCCCCACTCTGGTTCCACTTGAACGATGGCCTGGCAAGTGATGTCACCCAATGGTCTCCTCAGTGTGTACCTCCACCTCATTTTCTTTTACATATTTGTTGAACAGTAGGGCCTTGATTGGAATTTCTCAGAGCTTTCTGTTGGTAATACTTTCTGGTCATTTGATCCTCAGTATGGATCCAGCGAAGGCAGTTGTTGCCTCCAAAGCCTCAGGATGGTCGGGGGTGGGTGCCTTGCGCTGCGGGTTGGCCACTCCTCCGCACACCTCTTGAAATGTTCCCATATGACCGGACGTCTTACGTAGCCTCTCCTGAGGAAGTCCTACTCACCTTTTTTCACGTGGCGGTGTTTTTCACCAAAGTGAGAGGGTGAAAGCGGATGCCAGGCGCTCTTCACCGGGTTGACTGTCCATTGGATGACAGTCTAGGGTAGATGGCTAAACCCTGATTCCAAACCTCCAACGACTGGCGTATGAAGCTCACTGGAGCTCACCGGCAGACGTATGGACAAATGGCTTGTTAGATGTCCTGGATGTCTGGCCCCATTCAAAAAGGCGTATGAACCGAACTCCGGTCACCGGCTTCCAATGGATAGTGGACTCCCTACTCCACTCCTACTGCCTTGTAGGTCACACTTGGTTGTGTAAAGGCTAGAGCTGCACTGTCAAACAAAAGGCCGAGCGATTCTGGGGACATCACTCGTACCAAATTCCCATGAAACTTCATGAACTCTTGTTCATGAAGCCGGCTCATCCTCTCGTAGGAGATAGCCGAAGTAAAGTAAAGTAGTAGTAATTTGTTGATAAAAGAGTGAAGTGGCGTGTTAGAAATGCCTTTCGTAGCGCACAGTGCAGGTTTCTGATCCATATAGAAGCACTAACTGACTTAACATGTTTGTGTTGGAAATCTGAATTTCGTTCTGTGTTCTGAGTGCAGGTGAGTCCCAAACTGATTGCATTGTTGAAGGTGTTTGTTGACTTCCGATTCTGGCTTTGACATCTTCATCCGTCCCCCTTGTAGTTGAAACAATGCTTCCTAGATAAGTGGAGGAAGTGACCTCTTCCACATTTGCGAGTTTGTGTGACATTAGACATAAGTCATCTGCGAAATCAAGATCTTTTAGAGTCTTCTTATCAGTCGAACGTGTTGCTGTATTCCCACTCCATGCAGTCTGATGCATAATCCAGTCCACCACAGTTACGAATATCATCGGTGATAATAGGCAGCCAGGCTTGTCTTACTCGTTTATTCACTTCAAACGCCTCTCTGAGTTTTCCATTGTGGATCACCTAACACTTGGCATTATCATATAGTCAGCTGTTGGATGAGGTTGGGCATTGCACGCCATAATGTTCTCAAATTACTTCGCGTCGAAGTAATCAACGTTGCCGAAGGCTATTATAAAGTCAATGAAATTAAGGTATACGTTTGACTGTCATTCTATGCTCAGTTCGGTGATGACGCGTAGAGTTGCAATTTAATCAGCATATGATTTGCCTTTCCTGAATCCAGCATGATTCCGCGCCAGTTATCGAACAGGCCTAAGTCGCCCTTTGTTAGTTTGACAAGGTAGTCTTTCTTCCAATCGGTTAGCACATTTTCTTCCTAACAAACCTTTTGTAATAGTGGCGTGATCACACCTACTGCAGTCTCTGGGTCTGTTTTAAGTGCTTCCAGTGGAATTCCATCCAGCCCTGCTGCCTTTCTGACCAGCGTTCAATAGTTTGATCGCCTTTAGGATTTCTGCTTCCGTTGATGGATTGGTGTCCACTATCAAGCGGTTCTATGCGTGCTGCTTGTGGTGTTAGATTTCTGGGCGAGTTGGAGCTGATGATCGGCCCATTGTTTTATTTGTTTCTCCTCCTTGGTAAGGAGGTTCCCTTGAACATCTTTTATTGGTTTCACCAACTGGGTTGATCTCTTTCCAGATAGAGACCTGGTTATCTGATATAACGTCCTGAGGTCTCTTTTACCTGCATCCTACCTGTTCTGCTCCAGTTACAAATGTGTCGCAGAATTGTCTTTTGTCTTTCCTGGCACTCTTCACTTGTATATTCACTGCAGTGTACATTAAACTCAGCTTCTCCTTCTGTTGTCCATCTATGCATTGAGTCATCTTTCACTATCCTCCTCTCCTATTAACTTCCAAGTATCCGTTGAGAGCCATTCCTTGTCTTGTCTCTTCTTTCTTCCTAAAACAGTGGTACATGTTTCCTTGAACGTCACCTTCAGCGAGTTCCAGTGTGCTTCCGCGCAGATTTCCTCAGTGATGTTACTTAATGTCTCCCACTTTGCTCTATTTGTAGCGAAGGTATCTTGGCAAAGTTAAACGTTAAGCACCAGTAAATACCAATAGACAAATGACCTCGAACTCACCAGCCACATGATAAAGGCGATTTTTGCGTATAAAAATACATATATTCATGAAGAGTGAATTAATAGGCATGAAACTATTACTCAAGATACCTTTCTCTGATTGGTGACAAAAATTCCACTCAATTTAAGATTGGAGCATTAGCAGAGTCGTATAACCACATTTTATACATGTACTTATCTCGGTTTTCTGGCCTTAACAACAACTCTAATCTCCTTAACCTAACCCTTAGGCGAAAATATCGTATTCTAACTCGAACCAACTCTAATGTTGCCCTCTTTAGGTTGATTTAACCCTAGCCTGTCCCTGGGCTAAACCTTAACTTATTCTTTCCCAAACCTAACCTGAAACTTGCCAGATATCCCATTTAATAACATGACATTTCATCAAGCACACTTTATTCATGATTAAAATATTATTTACCAGGTTTCACTAACTTGCTCACTGAGTGTTTCAAGGTCGTCAGTGCGGTCGCACTACACTGGCACTTACTGGTGCTTAAAGTTTAACCTGGCCGGTGTCTTTTGTAGTTTCGTCTTTCAGTTTCTGAGTGTTGAACTTGAATTATGGTCTGTCTCCAGTTGTTCTGAAGGCTTTCAGTTTCATTTTGGGGGTCCCTTGAACTAGATGATGGTCTGAGTGAGCCTACATCTGCTCCCCCTCTCTACTTTGTGTCCAGCAGACTGCTTCTTCACTTTCTTGAGATCGAGATGAAGTATATCTTGGTTTTGGGTGTGCTTCAGGTGAAATCCATGTTGCCTTGTATATGTCCTTATGCTCATACACGCTACCTCCAAACACGAAATCATTGAATGTCTAGAAGTCTGCGAATAATTCTCCATTCTTATTCATTTCTCTGAGAGCCTCTGGACCCATGATGAGTTCTCTTCCTGCATCGTCCGCTCCCAGTTCGGCATTCATATTTCCCCCTACTTCTCGCTGTCATAATCCTGAAGTAGATTGGTTCCCATAGCTTAAGTGCTTTGGCTACTGTAGCTGAAATCCTTATGGCCACACCCTCAGTGTGCTCTTGGTTGTCGTCTGGGCGACTGGAGTACATTACTTACCAGTTGATAATTTGGATAGTCCACAACCATTCCATTTGCTCTCGCAGATTCCGAGCACTTCTATACCATATCTCTTCATATCTTTGACTATCTGGGCAGCTTTCTCAACTTTGTACATTGTACGTACATTCCACGTTCCCATTCTTATTCTTGCTTTCATCGAGAGGAGACACATTGGCTGACTGGCTTCCCCAAGGCTTTCACCAGCTCGCTTCATTTCGTCTCTCCGATTCGAGCGGAAAATAAGTGTTTTTTGTATTTTTAATATATTTCTTGTTCTTTGAAGTTTCTGTAGCAGTTTGTTTGGTTTTCTGGAGTAGGATCGCTAGCACTATGCTCAACATCTCATTTCCCGGGCTTGGGACAGGCTAGAAAACTGGCGAGCTAGTAAACCAGGCGAGGTTCCCGTTTATCATAGGGGTAGCGAAATTTTTCAGATGTCTGGGACAGGTGTTGAGTCATTCCTATTGCACACATTCTCAGTTGATTCGATGAATAAATTCAGTATATTTCTGTAACAGTTGTTTCCAGTCGCTGTGTTCTCACAGTACTTTAAGTTTGTTAGCATGATATGCGACGGATACAAAATGCAGGAACCATATGCACGCTTGTGTGAAGGATGACTGGCTGTCCAAGTCTCGGCTGGGGAAGCGGGATATGTTCTGACGCCTTATTGGCTTGAAGGTAATCTAATAGGCTACACCACATAAGGGAGACAAAAGAGATTTGAAATAAAGATAAGCATAAAGTTGAGGAAGGAAGAATTTTTTTTGTTCCTTCACGTTCACAGTGGAACACAGAGCTTCAGGCTTGAAGTTTTGGGGTTGCTAGCCTCAAGAGTATTTCAATCGATCATGCGACGCAGTAGCTAAAGGCATTATATCAGAAGTGGTCTATGGTCGAAATCAGTGGCGAACATGCTGTTCCCTTTTTGAATACTAAAAGTAACGTGAAGTAATAAGCTCTCCTTTGATTGTTCATGATAAGCACACTTATTTCTCATCCTGTTGTTCCCCAACTTTTTTCATTTCAGTTTCTGCAGTATTGCTTTCTTATCACTTTGTGTGACACGTCTTTTTTCTGCCGACACTGTAACAAGCTTCTGTATTAAATAAGAATATACGTTTTCCTTGGAATCGGTTGTCAAGTACATTAACCCCTTTTTCAAGTACCAAAAAAGTAGACCAACTCGCAAAATGTGGCTATCTAGGAATCAGCATCCACACTTCCATAAACACATAAAGTTCTTCAGTCTATCACACACCTCATCTTTGACGCATTTCTGGAACTATCCTGCAAACAATTAATTCACGCCTTATGTCTGCGACTATTGCTGGCGACGAACATAGAAAAACACTCTGCGGTACGTTATAGTGGCGTTACCAACGTTTTCTTGGAGCTTTCAAAGTCTGAAAACGTTGAACAGGTCTCAATGAACAAGACTAGAGTTTCATGCTTTGAGTGTACGTTGTACTTCAGAACCATGTGTAGAAGACCAAGGTAGGGGTACCTTTTCGAGCCCACTTGGCGACATAATCCTCCTGCATAATTCAGCCAGCGGGTGTAAGGATTTCTAGACAGTTGATGTTGGGATGGTATTAAGCTGAAGAGCAGAAGACCTACTATTCAACTGGATCCCAGGGGACTGTCGTTTGTGTTAGACCACTCAATGGATTTATTCGAGTACAGTTTTGTCCCCAAGTGATTAGGGGTGGTGGTAACTAATTGTACCTAGATAAACTAAGACTACAGCTAGTGGATAGGGGTCTGAGGGGAAGTCTTCCTGTGGTAACCACAAGTTGGCCTGACTAGTATAGCATCCAGAGTTCTGCAAATGTTAAGTTGGGACTGAAAAAACCGAAACAACTGAGCAGGACTCAGTGTTGAGTGAAAATTTACTGATCAAATCATCCTTCGATAGGTTTTGAAACTAGTATAATTGCCTCCATCCAACACTCCTTAACCTACAGAGTGCATCTGCCTTTCTTAGTCGAGAGAAACTGTGGTAATTTTTAACTATGATTAAAGTGTCGAAATAGTATATGATGCCGACCAACGCACCGTATTCCAAATCGTGAAGCCGTGTAAAAGCTTACGCAAAGTTTCCATCTGAATTGGCGACAATAAGTGGTGTTTCTCAGGTGCTTCCACCGTCAAAATGTTTTATCTGATTTTATAATACATGTAGTATTAAATTTAATCGTAGTCAGCTTCTATTTCTCGGAAGTCGAGAGCAGTTTCCCTGATTCGGGCTACACATTATATTGCCCCTTTAAGTGAAAGCACTAACGGAACGCTATCTTCTGAAAAAGAATCCAAACATTTTTGGAATTCGATTCACTCTTGTTAGGTGTAATATAGTGGCACGTGACTGGTCTAAACCGACTCCCAGTTTAAGGGATAGGAAGGGAAGTGGTTGGATGTGCTCACCACTTCACTTATTCTTGAAGCTACATTAACCCTAATGGACTGACTAGATCTCACAATGAATGCAAAAGGCTTATTTGACATTTATTGACTTGTGTCATCCTTGGTATCGGCATAATAAACACTACCAATCGAAGAACGTCCTGTCCTCATATATGTGACTGTGAGATAGGACAGCTGGAAATGGAAAATACAGAAAGACTAAAGGTCCTATGGCTACAAGTGCCTTCGTTACTTTCCCATATTATGTGGGTGAAAAGGTTCTGAAACTCGATGGACTAAAAAGGCCAAAACACGCCTTATGCACGCTGAGTCATGACCCTCTTCAATGATGGATGTTGGCTAATGTCGGATTATTTCAAGAAAACTGTTAGGATGGTGATGATCGGACGAACATTTGGTACGCACATGTGCTGTCATTGACTGTAAGTTGGAGTTATGCAGGGAGATAAGGACTGCTTGAAATGCTAAGAGTCAGTGATTGCAGTGTTGATGACATGGCTATTACATTGACTGTTACCATCCGAAAGTCCTCAGTAGTCTTCATTTAGATTTACGCTTTTCTGTATATCGTTGGCCATTGTGTCGTCATTCAGTTCCTGTACATTTATTACTGCTTTTAAGTTTGGTACATGGGTTGCTACCATTTTTGCCAAGCTGTGCCTCAGTGTCTTTGCTCCATCGCTCTCACCTCTTTTAAGTTGGTCCCGTATTTTATGTTTAAAGGTGTGAATAAGGTTTGGAGATAAACCCGTTTATTAAAGGTCAGACGCTTAAGCTTTGGGTTGCACCTTTCAGGCGGTCGTTAATTGTCTGTGAATGGATGTATTATGCCTCAGAATATTCTGGGGGGGGAGGGGAGAATCAGGCGGAGCATGGAATCTATGTATAGGCAACCCGAACTCAGTTACCGCAGCTACAGGATGTCATCATTTGTGCTTACTGAAGCATGTTTCGCATCCCAAACTATCATCCTCATAGACTCTGGTTTTCGTCCTCGAAATGCTAAGAACCGGTAGCGTGTGAGATTGTCGGTAGTACGGCTCAAAACTGTTCTCGACGACGCAAATACATTCACTCTTTGTAATCTCCTAGATGCATTAGGTCCCCATGTTTCTCTGTGTTACTGTTCTTCCTGCCTTACATATCTGTCCATTCTAGTTCTTCTGATTCTTTTCTTTTCTCTCCTTTTCGTGGTGTATGGAGTATGTCAGTTTGAACTGCTACACTTCTGTGCAAAGTTCTACATTAAGACTCATCTCCTAATTTACTGTCCTCCATTTCTGATCTTATAGAGTACCATAGGACTTTGATTATATATTCTTTCCTTTCAAGTATTTCTGTTTTATTCGAATTGAAATATGTGATTCGGTGGCACAGTGGTTAGGATTCTCGCCGACCATGCACATGGTCCGGGGTTCGATCCCCTGTCGACGCACACCTGATATCAATGGTCGGCCTGCAAAATTTGGGCTACCGATATCGCATGCTGAGAATTCCATACCTGTACCGAAAATACGGTGTGCAATCAAGCTGAAATAAAAAAAAAATTCATCTGTTTGCAACAACTAGGGTTTCCGTCATGTTGATTTGTCTGTTTGATTTCTACTTCCAAGTCCTCTACCAAATTGATCTTTCTGTTTTCTGAAAGAAGTGATAGGTCAAATTAATAGTGGAACAAGTCAACATATTAAACCTAAAAGCATATAGACATCAGAGAAATATTTCCTGACCAGTGTTCTTTATCTTCATGTACTTACTGCGACCGCATACTAGTTTTTGAGCACGTTATTTATGTACAAATCCTTTTTTCCCAGTAATAAATAGTTATGCTTTCTGTATTATTTTTTAGGCATGCAAAGGGGCAGTTCGTTGTATGGCCACGTGTAATACAAATGGACTTCCAAAGCATCATGAAGATTCCATTCTAAGTGGGGATAGTCTTATTCCAATTATCCAACCCCATAATATTTTTGATAATACTATTGAGAGGAAAATTAATTCTATAATGGCTCCACGAACAGGTCCTTATCTTGCTTCAATGCCCATACAGTTAAATGGTGCCTCTAATCCATGTAAAAGTGATGATGATAATGATACTAAAATGGGAAATGCTACTGCTGTTATTGTTGACCAGTCTATTAGTACTCACCATCAAATCCCAGTCAGCAGTAGCATATCGAATTCCCCTGCTGTTGACAGGAAAACTTCAAGTCCTAATGTACAAATTAGTCAGATATCCTCCTCATCATCAACAACAACAGTGCCAAAAAGGCGATCTGTACGTGACAAACGGGTTACAAATTCTGAAAATACTATTCAATATCATGCTTCGCTTACACAACGTTTAAATGTGTGTGATGAACGCCTACTTCGTATTCGTACAAGAGCCTTAAACTTATTAACACGCTTGTCAGCTTGTCATGACTCTTCAGGATCACAAAATGATGGTAATGAATCACTGCCTAGTTCTTGTGTGCCTAGTATTCTGTCATGGAATTTGACAAATGAAGATACAGAGAGTAGTACAGACAATGATGATGATGATGATGATAACGAAGCTGAAATGAGGAATAAAGCTTTGTCCAGGTGCGTTTATTTTTGAATAAAATAAACCTGTTTGTTGTTATTGTTGTTGTTCTTGTTCTTGTTTAGTTCTAAACAGTCCTGGTTGTATACTCGTTCTGTGACACACTCGAATTGGCAATGGTTGCGGAGTGAAATAGAATCATCTAGAATGTGTATACAAGAACTTGAAAGATTGAAGCATCATTTTCATAATTCGAGGAAAGGATTCAAGCATGAAGAGGCTAATAATAATAATGGTAATAGTGGTAGCAGTAATAGCAGATACAGTTCCGAAGAAATGACCTGTTCACGTGTATCTCCCTACTGTGTTAACAAAAGAAAGCCGCGACACACTTACCACAATCTCTCCTCACCGAAATATGCTCATATCATGCAAGAGTTTAGTAAGTTGTTTTCAAATTGTCGATATTCACTCTTTTGTGTTAGATGAGTATTCTGCCGGTGATCCCTACATTAAATGTTCTTGTATTCCACCGTTTATTGGACCTTGTATTTTGTGTTGTGGATCTGAACTATCACCATCACCACCACCACGACCATCCGGTGCTTGTTCCGTCGAATTGTCGAATAAATCAGATGGTCGAGACTTGCTTATCTCAGCTCATTCATTGTGTACACATATTCATCCGAAATTATCAATCCCAGGAGGTGGGTTCAGCCTTCTCTTAAGTTTGTTTTTTCCTATTTCTCACATGTTTTGTATTTTTTTCTATTCCTAAATAAAGTTACCTTATTTCGGTTATTTTTGGGGGGACGGGCCTCAATGATTCCAGTAATGCATATTTGATTTATTTATTTTTTGATTACAGCTTGATTCCACACTGTCTTTTTGGTACAAGTATGAAATTTTCAGCATGTGATATCAGTACTCCAAGTTTTCCAGGCCGACCATATATATCTGGTGTGCGTCGGCAGGAGGTCGAACCCCGGACCATGTGCATGGTCGGCGAGGAGGGAGGGTATAAAGGAATAGCTATGCAATCATATATCTCGCCATTATTAGTTGGTATACTCATGGATTTTTGGGGGGGAAAATGAAGTAAAAACATTCGTCACCAATAAAATGCGGGTGAATATATATAGATTATGCGCCAATCTTGTCTGCTCAATAAAGTGCATACAACCAGTTCCCTTGATTAGTTCGGATAAATATATAGAACGAACATAATAGAGATTTGTAGCTCAAGTGAATGATTTTGATTTAGTTGTGTCCTCTGAGCTAGCTGGTTGATTTAACTGCAAAGCCTTCATCGTCCTTCTAGACAATATCTTCAGTGCAGGCTTTAATATAAATCAATTTTCCATGAATGATAGAATTGTATCTTCTGATAACCAGTGTCGTGATCGGTTGTTAATCTACGTCTTTATTGACTTGGAATTTGAACTTTCCCGTCATATCACTTATTTTTTATTAGTTGCTAAATGTAATCTGTAGTACTGAGTACTACCAGGTTTCTAGAAATTCCCTGACATTTCTGGTGTTTCCTTTGTTTCAATATTTCTACATTCTCCCAATCAGATTCGTGTCCTTAACCTATCTACCTACATCGATACGAAAGAATACATATCGTGACTTTTCACAGCTAATGTACCTTCTTGGACTCTGAGTCGATGAAGACGCCCTGTTTTTGACCGATGTAGTGTTTATTGCAGTGTATGCAATTCATTTTGTATCTGGTATTGATGATCTTATCTTCTTTTGCTGTTAAATCCTTTAGTTCGCAAAATATTGAATGAAGCGATTGTGCTGTTGGCTTGTGTGTCATGTCTATTTCAAATGGTCTTGGTATTCTATCCGTTATTTCAGAGATATTTTTTATATGTATGATAGAATGAATTTTCTTGTGGTCTTTTAGAATGTTATCTTGCTGGCATTTTAATCTGGGTGTTAAATTTTCTTTAAAAATGAAATTGTATGTTTATTCATTCTTCTTGAGGACAGTTAATAGGTACTTCTCTTCTATTCCCTTCATCACAGGACTGCTACAGTGTGTTGTTCGAACTCTTTTAACCAAATCAAAACCAATACTTGAAAATTATTCTGATGCTCACTAGCGACTGGCTCACATGTTTTGTATTTTTTTCTATTCCAAAATAAAGTTACCTTAATTCAGCATATTTTGAGGGCGGTGGGGAGGGAATGTACGTTAAAACTTGGGCACCACTGTGCTAGTATGTAGTTCCACATTAGTTTGTTTATTAGATATATCACACAGTGAAACAGTAGTTATAATTTGATATGATCATGAGCAATCTGAATTATGTTCAAAATGTCATCCAGTAAATGTGTGATACTGTTTCACTTTGTGATGGAATCACTAATTCCATCTTTATCTAGACTTTTGATCAAAAATATGTACCGCTGGTCGTGATATGCACTGAGGTTGAATTTAATAGTAAGGCGTGAAGTGGTCCAACACCTTAACTCTAACGCATTAACATTTGACCGAGTGTAGTATGAAACATTGTTTCCCTCCTGTTGAAAGACTATGAAAACTACCTTTGAAATTTATGTTGGTAAAGGGTGTTTCATGACTATTATAATTACTTATTATTATTCCCTTGGATTCCGAGTGGAACATAGAGATCTTCAGCAGAACACCTCTATTTCACTTTATTTTCTGAAGTATTTTTTAGCTTGCTCTACAACTACTCATAAGCTTTTATTTCCAGCTCATATGGTAATCTCCCCCATGTCACCCTCTGAACCACGTCTAAACCGCGTCAACCACTATTTAGGTTCCACTCGGTGGCGCGGTGTATATACTGTCACTCAACAGTTTCTTCAGAGTATACCTGATCCCTCCTATATTTCCTTTTGCATATTTGGTTGGTTGGTTGGTTGATTGCCAGAGTTCCATATGGCTGTCGGCCATTTGATCTTGAGTATCAAGCAAAAGAGGCTCCTGTTCAAGAAAGTCTACAGTAGCCTATTGAAAAGGCCGGTGACGCGTCCAGCCTCTGAAACTTAGCGAAGCACTTACTTGACATTAGCATTGAAAGTGGTGTGGATCTTGTTTCTTATACTGAGTGGAACAAGTTTCCCCGCTGTTTTCAAAGTAATGCAGGTCGTTCTTGCCTTCATAAAATTGCAGTTCCTCGGTGACAACATCAGCGAAATCATAACTCATGGGCTAGCCATTGGATCAGGTCCCAATGACTTAATGGTCTACAAGCTCGCTTGCCTTGTAACTAGAAGGTCCTGGGTTCGAACTCTGGCGATGGGTGCGTACTGATGAGGAGTTCAGAGAGACTAGGACGAAACGACTGTCGAGTACTCCTCCCAGGTAGGTGATTTTCCAATGGTTATCTAACTAATGTCAGCTGATGATGAAATCCTGTAACCAATCAATCAAATCCCTAGAAACCAATACTTTAATAAATTCCACAGTGCACAAACTTTTGTGCAGCTTTGACTTATTTTTCTAGACCCTCAACTTTCAACCAACAGGTCCCTGGTTCGAGACCCACTCCACTCACCGTGATTTGGACAGCCCCGGGTAGCATAACCAGTCCCTATACACACAGTAGGTTTGGCCCAATACCTAATGCATGGAATTGCAAATGGTTGTTTGAGTAACACTGAGTTTGTGATTCAGCGGAGCACACACTTCTCACAGACACATTAATAATACCAAAAGAATCTTCAACCATCAGTCTGCAGTGTATGTTTAACTGGCGGTTTCTAGCCTGTGGTCTATCAAGCAGATGAGACTGCTACAGCCTTATGCATATAAAATCTTGAATTATAAACATAAAATTATTAAACTATTGATTGGATAACTTTACTTTTCATTATTGTATAGATATCCAATTAGCTCTTCGTTTAGAATCCCGTCTCTCCGGCTATTCATCAGTTTATTTTCGACCGCATAAAACTACTGTGCGTTCAATACAAGCTTATGAGAAACCAAAGTACTTACAGACCTTAAATTCAATCATCAATAATAACACTCATATTTCATCCCATTTTAAAGATAATGAGAAACCCAATGATGAATCGACAATAATTCCAACAAAATCATCAGTTCCACGTTCAAAGAATTCTCGTTTAAAGAAGCGAAAATTAGTCTCATCAAAAAAATCTCAAATCAACTCATCATCATCATCATCCTGCTCACTACAAACATCACCTGGACTTTCGACCAAATTACCTCGTCAAACTCAAGAAAGTGCACAGGTAACATATTTGCATTTTATATATTCTGTTGTTAATAATTCCTATACATACATACATACATACATACATACATACATACATACATACATACATACATACATACATACATACATACATACATACATACATACATACATACATACATACATACATACATACATACATACATACATACATACATACATACATACATACATACATACATACATACATACATACATACATACATACATACATACATACATACATACATACATACATACATACATACATACATACATACATACATACATACATACATCACTGGTACTGATTTTTCTCTATTACTTTTTTCTTCTACATCAGGATACGAATAAGGTAACCGAAGCTCAGTGATACGCGGAAACAACTCCATCCATTGTCAGGGGATAGATACTATTTAGACAGATGATGTTTGTGTTTCTATCATCTATCTCGGTAATTCTTCTGTATGTGTGTGTGGGTGTTTGACAAAGATTATTAACCAGATTTCTTATTTATTTACAAATTTATTTCGTTTCTCTCCACATACACATCTGTGTCTCCATGCCAATTTTGTTTCATATAAGAATTATCTCAACTACTGTCACATCAGTATATATATATCGGTCTGTTGATTGATTATGTGGCAGTAATGATGAAACACACTTTTCTTTTGTATTTCTCAGCATTTATCACATCTAGTCCCCATTGTATCTCTTTCTCTCCATCCCATCCCTACGTTTGTTTGTTTTTTTAGTACATAAGCGCACTCTGTATGCGTAGAACTGCAAAAGTCCTCTGGTAATATCTTTCTGTTGTTGTATTGTTTTCATGGCTATTCTCATTCATATGATATCAGTACAACTGATGAGTTTTCATCACTGATATCACGACAACATCACCCACTGAAAAACATACATGCCCATCCAACTCCTCATTTTTTGCCTTTTCACTTTGAATAATCTAAAAATTCTCTACATATAAAGTATCTTAAGTGTATTATATTCACATATTTGAATATTTTGTGTATAGTTCAGTCGCATTAACTAATTCCTTGTTTCCAGCTCTGTCTATCTGTCAGTTTGTCTGTCTCTCTCTCTCTCTCGTTCCTGGTTTGTCCTTCTTTTTTAAGAAAATCTTCATTACATTTATTATTTGTATATTTTGTATATTCCCCAACACCATTTAATACATTACCATTATGATTATGATGAAATAATGAAGTCAGTGCAATTTCCGGTGTTTACTCTTTTTATTGTTCTTTGTATGCTTCGTCTTGCAATAATGTGTCATTATGTGAGTATAGTGAAATAATCTACTAGGTGAACACACTTTTAATGGTGAGCTTGCGTGTAAGAGGAGGGCACAGAGGCGGTTTGCCAGCCTATCGGAGATTAGTTTCGATGATTTTTAAACAGTGCTGAACAAAGTCAGTTGTCGAATTTTCGACCCCTCCTTTTTCGTATTGGTCTTGTGTTATACTTTTACCATTGATGTCTTCCAATAGTGACATCTGCGTTGTGATATAGTTTGTTCTGATAGGCTAGAAGACTTCTGGACGCTTTATCGATATAGAAAATGATTTGAATTTTCAGAGTTTAAGTGAATCTGTTGTCCTGTTTTTTAACACCAGGTACGAATATTTATGTGTCCCGATAGATTTGCTACTAAGGCAGTGTAGATTGATGTGGCTTCATTGTCGTAGGCCAGGAGCTCAACATACAGTCAATGGCTCCAAGGTTCCAACTACTTACTTCAGCCTTGGAAACTGCGTAGTATCATTAGCCCTCGCACAATAATTGTTGGGCCTATAGCTTAGTGCGTAAATGGACCATTCTGGGTAACGGAATTCAGTGAAAAAAACTCAGTATTCATGGTTCCTCTTTATTCAGTGTGGTAGTCGTTTACCACGGGAAATATCTTATTTGAGGATATTCAATGAAAATCTCAGTTTAAGTAAAAGTCAACACAATGCCGTGATTTGATTGAATAACTTGATCCCTGACCATTTCGTGTCCAACTCAAAAGCTTATTTTATTTATTCCTAAACAAATCAAACCCTTGGTGTTGCTACTACTACTAATTTTAAGACGACCTCTGAGGCTTAGACAATAATTGAAAACATTCTACAATCAACAGTAGAAAATCCCACTTTGGACGAACTGTTTTCCAGCTTCCATTGTGTAAAATAACAAATGATTGTCCAAGTGTTGGTTTGAAGGGATTTGATTGGTTACAGTATTTCATCATGAGCTGACATTGGTTAGAGAACCATTGGAAAGCCTGGGAGTAATGGACAGCTGTTTCGTCCTAGTCTGGGACTCTTGATCAGTACGCACCCACCGGGATTCGAGCCCAGGACCTTCTGCTTACAAGGTGAGCTCCTGAACTAGGACGAAACAGCTGTCCAGTACTCCTAGGTTTTCCAATGGTTCTCTAACCAATATCAGCTCATGATGAAATCGTGTAGCCAATCAAATCCCTACAAATCAACACTTGAATATCGATGAGATGCTCACTAGCGACTTGCCCTATTCAGGTCGGTAGTAACCTGGGGTTCTAGTGAGAAGTCGTGACCAGTAGCATGCAGCAAGTCGAGTATCAGGACAAATACTCGCCGAAGACATTGACTAGGGGTCGCGCTATGTCGTGAATTGGCAGAAGTTAGAATTCATGGGCCATTGGATCGGATCCCAGTGGATTAATGGTCTACCAGCTCGCTAGTCTTGTAACCAGAAGTCCTGGACTCGAACCCCGGTGGGTGAGTAATGCCGAAGAGTCGCAGACTGGGAAGAAACAGCTGTCCATTACTCCCAGGTTTTCCAATGGTTCTCTAACCAATGTCAGCTCATAATGAAATTCTGTAACAAATGATTGTGTAGACCATGGTAACAGGACACTATGTCCTTTCTACCCTGTTTTTATCTTCCTTTAAACATTCTGATAGAAACTGACACAAAAACAAGAGAGATAGAGAGACAGACTGTCAACTACTCAATAATTAGAAACAGTTTTGAAATGGGTCTAGTACACACACTACCCAGATGGTGGTTACGACTGCTAATATGTAATAATACTGTTGGGGTTTATATATATATATATATGTGGTAGATTCAACACTTAGAATGCGGATAGACAACTCGGCTGAACGAACACTAGATACTGAATATCAAATAATTCGGCCTGCCTTAACCCATAAAAAATGAGGACTGACGCATTTCCAGTATCAGGATGAAGTTAAGCCCAGAAATAGTCAGTTAAATTAGTTGTATAGATTTGGGTGTCAACTTAGTCCTATTGTGGTCGTGTGATACCGACAATGGGTTCCAATGGAATATTATTCTCACAGTAAGAAACATTGTATGTTTGTTGATGTTAACGTCTGAATACTATTCCCACACTTGAATAGTGAGTGCATTAGCAATAGAATACTATATTTGTATTTATGACATTCTATTTCATGTCGTTTAATGTAGTATAGTAAAGCGAAATCACATGCTCGGTGATTGATTGGTTAAAGTATATAAACAGTATAGATATAAATAACTGTTTGGTCACTTGATTATATACCCTGGCTTTCGTGTCTTACCTTCTACTGTTACACTGTGATATTATAATAAATATTCTGCCTCACCACCATGGTTTAATTTGTTCTGATTGGTTGTTGAAGTCTATTATTTTAGTCGCTTCATATCACTTAATATAAGTTTCAGCTTTTTTTCAAATTTGAGTGTCTTCAATGATAGAATATCGTTCCCAGATCACTTGACTGACATGATGACATCTATCTACTCTTAGGATGGTGGGATATATTTAAAAATGTGTACTGCTTAATGTATAATGGAGGGGTTTTATGCTTTTGTCAATGACAATAATCTTATATGCATGCGTAAACAGTTTAACTAAGTATTCCAAGCTTACTGCACAACTAAATGTCAGTTTTACTATATTAACTGAATAGTAGCCTTAGTCAAGTGTATGTGATGGATATCTAAGTGCTAGTTGGAGACTAGAATGTAAATATCATATAAATTAGTCAGTGGAGCTTAGATGGCTACCAGTTAGGCATTATCTACGGTTCTATTCATAATGCACTAATTCTGATAGGCATTGAATTCCAGCACAGTCTTCAGTGTCATGTTACCTCCATCTATCGCCCGAATAGATTAGTCAACTAATTACAAGGCTCCTGCTTCTTCTAGTGTGCTTGTTTACAACTTACTTATCCTTTAATGTAATGCTAGGTCTGTTTTGTGTTTCGGCGGCGGTAGTCCTCATCAGTTGCACATGCTACTACACAGTTATAAATCAAACTGAGCCATATATTCAAGAAGGCGTAGGCATACGTAAGCGATAACTTAAAAACATATAAATGCTGAGTTAATTTGTGTTCATACTAGAAGAAATTTTGCGGAGATTCTTAAGGTTCTTTCTCCCATTCTTATAAAGAACGAGTCTAGTACTGTATTTGTGACTTATATAAAGTGCTTACAGAAGGTCAGGCAGCTTTTGATAGGCAAACAGCATGTTGACTAACAACGACCACTTTGCTACTTGTGGTACTGGATACAGATCTCAGTGGTAGTCGGTTTTTATTGCAGAATACACAGTGCTCTGTAAGCGAGCGATTAACACCTAAGAGGGGAACACTCACACGAACTCAAAGTAAACGTATTTCCGAATATCTTTCAAAGATATAGCAATACTTTTGTCAGAAAGTTGTTTAGTAGACGTGTCGAAGCTTTGAAGATGTCTTCTTACCTTTCTCTAGTTTCCCCATGTCCTATTCAAATACTGGATACAGTTCTAAGGTGGTCATGCATTGTCTGTGTGAATTGGTTACTTTTTAAAACGTGCAGATGGAGGTCGGCAATTGTAAGTATATGTGTAGCACAACCCTGAAGTACTTCAGAAAAACCAACAGGAGTTAGAAATGCCCACCTCTCCATGTGAAATATTATTGGAATAAGTCGAAAAGTTCATGAATATAAATAAGTTTATCATTCTGGTTATGTCAAAAAAGTGCAAGGCGTTGAACAAAACCAGTTTATTACATTCTATTACTTTTAAAAAATAAAGGTATAAATTTAGGAGACGAAACTACTCAATTTTCACGTTAGTTGGTGACTAGCAGTGTAATCCAGCACAACGCAGATTTCGTCCGGTTTGGGACTCATCAACCGGTGGACCTACCTGCATTCCGCAGTGAGTGATGTTGTTCCCCCTGATACTGAAACCCAGTATACAAATGTTCAAACGCCAAAGCATTACCCGACACCGAGCACTCCGGTCCGATCAATCAACGAGAAAGTCCAAATTTAATTAAACAATCACTGTTACCCACTGAACAACAGATGGTTCTCGTGGCCCAAAGTGGATAACACTTTGGAGTTTGAAAGGATGAGTACTGGGTTCGAGTCTCAGTGGTATCATCACCACTCACTGGGGAATACAGACAGACACGTCCAGTTAATCAGTTCCAAATAGGACGAAATGCGCATAGTACTGAATTACACTGCTAGTCACCATCCAACAGTTTACTTCATATTAAATAACCAGACATCATCGAAACATCTTCACAAGGAGCCGATATGTCAACTGTGGAGGCAGAACAATTAGTCAATCAACAGGAAAGTCCAAGTCGAATTAAATGGTGATCTTTGTTCATCGATTTTACACCCAACGCAAGCAGTAGGAATGACCCAACAAAGATATCACAGATATGGAGAATATTATCATGAAAAGATAAGAAGTATTGGAAAGTGATGTGTGAGTGCCTTCATGATATGATTATGAGCAGTGCATTGCGCTCAAAACGCCATCATTAAGAAATAATAATAATACCGTATTATTGTGCTTCTTTATCAAATAAAATCATTCCACTGCACATTAGATAAGTTTATTTGATATATATAACACACACAGAGTGATGCAGTATCCATAACTGGATTTCGGACGTTTCGAGAACAGTGTTAGTTGCTCATAATTATATCGAATGTATTCACATGATTTGCTTTGACAGCATTTGAACTGTTAGGAAAAGTAAGAAAGAGTAGTAATGAAAGTAATATACATAGACAGGGAATTTAAAGCCTTGATAGTAGTAGAGTGGCGTATTCTCCTGAAAAGATTCATCAGCACTGTACAAAGAGACGTTCATCGGCACAAAAAGATCAAATAGCGGAAAGATAGCCTTGAAGTCAAATGGAGCAAATGGTCTACGAGCTTGACTTGTAACCTGAAGGTCCGGGACTCGAACCCCAATTAGTGGATACTGCCGATGATTCCCAGACTGGGATAAAACAGCTGTCAAGTACTTCTTGCTGGCTTTCAACGATTCTCCAAATGATGCCAATCTGT